ACACCTCCTTACACCTGGTTCAGCATCTGCTGCCGGACCAGCTGCGGGTACTCGGGCAGCTGTTCGTCAATCTTCTCGACAACACAGGCCGTGCCGTACGCGCAGACCTGCGCAAAGCCGCCCATGTCGCCGGCGTCGAACCGCAGCGCAATCACCGCGTTGCCGCCGCGGCTCTGGCACTCGCTGACCACGCGCGAAATCGCATCGTTGCGCGCCGAGTAGAGCTGGGGGACAGCAAGTTAGTATGAGGTAGACATGGCAGACATTGAAAAGCGGCGTGCACGCCGTGGTGGACCTACCAAATGGGTAAACCATCTCAGCTCGCCACCGGCCATGCTCTTGAGAACCATGCCGAGGCCGGCGGCCCAGTTGCGCGAGCGCACGGTCAGGCCGTAGACGGCGCCGAGCACGCGCACGACGCGGTAGCCGGGGATGTCGATCATGGTCGTCGTGATGACGCCGTTGGTCTCAGTGAAGCAGTGGAGGTCACTGAGCTCCGGGGGCATGTCGTTGCGAGGCATTGTGAAGGGAGACGGGGGATGTAGTTAGATGTTGGTGATTGGATGTGGTTGGTGACTGTGGTTGGTATGTAGCTTGCCCGATTTGGTAGTTACGTTTCGGACAACTAGTGACGTGGAGGAAAAAGAGAGAGGAAGACACGATGAGGAGATGAAGATGAGGATGGAGATGGAGATGAGGATGGAATGGAGCGAAACGAAAATCCCAAGACGTGGCAGATGCACGTCTTTTATATCTACAATGGTGGCTGGTGTGCAGCTCGACTCCCTTTGAAGAAAGCGGCTTTGACGATCATGATGAAGAGCTTAGCTTCCAAGACCCGCGCCAAATCCACAAGCCTAGATTGCCGGCTTCGCCTTGCAGCCCGATCCATTTTCTTCTTTTGCATACACAGTATTTCCATCTCCACGCAGTGTCACCTTGAGAGGCAGGTTCCTGCCTTTCTCGTGTTTCGTGTGGCACACATCGACATGTATTGGTGGTTCCTGCCCTGGCGGCGCATCGGCATTTCGCCCAAGGAAAGCGGGACCCACTCTGACCGATACGAAAAACGAGCCGTTTCCAGCGCTTTGCTTGCAGGCAATTCGCCAAGGCAGTGCACCAAAACCCTCCAAAGTATGCTAGAAACGGCGCACCAATGCGAACATTGGTAACTGCCTTCAAGCCATTCAATGGCTCCATGCTTCGTGAGGCAGACGTCAATCGCGAACCATCCAATCGTAACTCGCATTTCTTTGCTTTCTTTTGACTTTTGCTTCTCCGACCGAGCCCGCAAGTTTGTGGCTCATTTCCTTTCACAGTCCCGTGTTCTTTTCTTCTGGCGCGCTTCTGGTCACATCCACAAGCGCGGCGCGGAGATGTGTGTTTAGGCAGCCACATTTCCAAGGCCAAGATGCCGGCGAACCCTTTTCTCGACTGCGTCTTTTCCATGATGCTATTTCCTTCGTCTGAACTCAATTGGCTCGCTCCTCGGTATCCGTTGCCGTGAGAGCTTCGTCTGTTCTGCTTCTGACGTCATGTTTCCCCCTGGATGGGCTAGGCGGGTGTTGCTGTTTCTCAGTTCTGGTCCAAATTGTTACCAGCATTAGGTCGTCTGACTCGACGGACCATTGACGGCCACAAGGCTCCTGCATGTCGATGTTGTAGTCAGCTGCCCAATTGGGACAGTCGACGTGCCGAAAGAGGGATTACGCCGCGCTACTCCGGTAAGACAACAGCGACGTCGGCTGCCCACAGTCTATGAGGAGGCGGTCGGGGATGTTGTATCGCAGAAGCCATGAACGACAAGCAAAATATGTTGTACGTGGCCATGGAACAACAAGCACAATAACCCTGTACATAAATCGTACTCCCATCCAGTTGTGTCTGACCACCAGCGTCCAGACGCGCCAATGCAACCGCAATCTGGAAGTCGTTGCCGCTGCCCTTTATTTGCCGGATGACGGAAGATGTCGAAATACGGTTTAGCGGGCGAGACAGCAGAAGAGAAACAACAACCCCGGGTCGTTCAAATTGAAGCATATGAGCTCCAAGGGGCAGACCAAAAGACGGGACGAGCCTGGATCGCTTCCTTGCGCCCTGTGCCCTCTTTACGCGGTGGACTGGGCCTATTCAGCCGTAAAGACGATGGCCCGACATACCAGCACATAGCACATACATCGCTGCGCGGAACTAGACGAAAATCGCCAAATTGGTCTCAATTTACAAGAGGAGACGCCAATTCGACCTTGACAAGACGCAGCGGAGAGGGCAATAAAAGGACGCCTAGGGTAGGCGACATGGCGTCAAGCGACGTCTTGATCTCCTGTACCCGGCAACGAGTGTTGTTCTTCTTCCAGTGAGGCCAATTCACAAGCACCGTATAGGACCGTTGTTCCCGATCGTCGCCACATATACACCTACGTCCTGCAACAACGATGAAGGCTTTCTCGTCGCTGCTGTTTGCTGGCGTGGCCGCGGCCGTGCCGACTGGCCAGGCCGCCGACGCCGACGCGCCGGCGGCTACCGTCAAGTGCCCCATTGTCTTTGACGGCCGCGTCCCGTCGACCCTGGTGCTCACCGACTTTGACTCGTACAGCAAAGGCTCGCCCTTTAACGCCGAGTACGTCAAGGGCAACGACCTCAAGTGGAGCGAGATTCTGCTGCTGCCCAGTGTGCCCACGAGCCGCTTCGACGCCGCCGTCAACACGTCCGGCGCCGCCGCCTTCAAGGCCCTCGAGGTCACGCTGAGCGACAAGTCCATCTTCCAAAAGCAAAACGGCTTTCGCCGCGCCGGGCTCCAGCTCAACGGCGATACCAACACGGGCAGCCCCGGCTTCACCGGCATCAAGACGCTGCACTTTAGCGTCAAGCAGGACGCCCAGCGCCCGCTCAACCTGAGCCACGAGTACCTCAACGTCTGGCACGAGGCCAGCGACTACTCGGCCGACCAGATCATGTTCCAGGCGGGCACGCTGATTGACCAGGCCGGCCTGCCCAAGAACACCTTCAAGGTGATGAGCCGGCAGAACAAGCAGCTGTGGTCGACGCCCATCTCGACGACCGACTGGCAAAACTTTGCCTTTACCCTGGATTTCAACAAGAAGTGAGTCTGTGTGTGTGGGAGAGAAAGAAAGAGAGACATTGTGTGTGGATGTGTGTCTTGTCTTCGCAGTATTTTCCTCAACTGACACGTCTCCAGCACGGTCCAAGTCTACTACTCCAAGGGCACCGATCCGTTGGCGTCCGTCCTCAAGGCCACGGCCGACGACCTCTCGGGTGCCGGCCAGTTCCAGATCGGCATCCTCAAGAAGCCGACGGGCACGAGCGATGTCGTCAACAGCGGCTTCCAGGAGTCCGGCTTGAAAGAGGGCCAGATTTATGGCGGCATCTTTATCGAGGACAGCGCCAACGGCTGCATCTCGTTGTAGGCGACGTCAGCCATTCACGCCAACGGTCAAAGCCAACGGTGGAAGGCACACGCATATCATCAGGCACAGCACGTATCTGCACGTTGGTGGAATGCCACCAGCACCGCTGCTACAGGCTGTAAAGGGGAAGGAGAATTAAAAGTCAACATGTCGAGGAAGCGGGCTGTGAAAAAGAAAAATATAGATGTGAAAAGCAAATATAGATGGATGGCATTGTCCATGACCTATCTTCACGCTGTACCGTACAAAGTACATCCTGTTCGCCCTAGGCCTCTGAGTTGCTCAGAGCTGTAAAACGACCCTTTTTAGGCACAAGCCTGAGGCTGCGAGTCACGGGACCTGCGTTTATGCTTCACGAGAGCCTTTCTGTACAAAGTATGCCCTCCGGGACCCATCAAACGCGTAGCTTGTGCCCCAATCTACTGTATACAACATACAGGCTTGTTCTTTGCGCATGGCCAAGTGGAGCAGCTCCAGTACGTGCCGGCTGCAGACGACCGCAGCCGTTGAGGATGCACATGTCGACACGGATACTCTGAAGTAGCAAGAGGTTGTCGGCAGTCTACGATGTGTCTATTCAATGGGGTGTATGTATGTCTGAAGCGTCTCCCCGTCTCGTCTCCATCGGACGTCAAGGTTGAAATTGTCTCTGAAATTACAGTCGTCACGCTTCGGTAATCAGGATCTGGTGCTCTCCACTTTCCGAATTACCGAGGACTTCACGCACGAGGCCAACCAGAGCGTCGTATAAAGACGAGGCTGGCCGATTTGATCGAGGGAGTCGTCGCGCCGTCGTTGAGTTGTGCATGATGCAAGTGTCGCTGTCTGTTGTCAATTTTGTATTCGGTATAATTTGTTGATTTGTCTCACAGAGAAATCGCAGGTAAGAAAGGACGAAAACCCACATACGGCGTAATTGCATAGGTTTTATTGCATACTGGAGCTTTCTATTGCCGCCGTGCCGGACCAGCGGCCACGCCTGTTCTGTGTCGCTCCTGCCATTACTTGTAGGCTGTCCCCGTTGTTTCCCCTGGACCTCCTCTCCAATCTGAGCTGGGGCGTGTTACCGGGAGTTTTAGGGCGGAAAAACCTGCTAGCCCGCTGTGATTGGACCAACCCGCTCCCACGCCCCACTATTTGCTCGTTTTCTTCCCTTTTGTGTCCTGCTGCTTCACTTTTTTTCGCTCTTTCCCTCTGCACCCAGGACGACCAGCGTATCCACTTTCCTTGGCTCCTCCCACTGGCGTCTTCCCCCAGTTTCCCCCTTTCAACGCCCAATCCCCCCCATAACGTACTGCGCCAAAGAGCCCGGCCGCTTTTCTTCGTCTCGTCCAGCGGGAAAAAAAAGTCTCGCATTTTTCTCCTGGCTTTTCCGGCTTTCCTCGTCTCCTCCTCCCTTACCCTCCCAAAACACCTCCTCTCTTTGCTCCTTGTTTTTCCCTTCCCCCCAAGACCTCTCGCTCCCTCCCCCTTCCCGCGCTCTCAATTGCAATTGGTCTTGCAATTGTTTACTCGAGTTTCTTTTCTCAACACCGCTCCTTTTCTTTTATTCACATCAAATCGGTCCCGACCATGTTCCGGAACGCTCTCAGACAGTCGACGCGCGCCGTCGGCGCCATCTCTGCCAGCAGAGTGGCTGGGGTACGTTGTCCCGAGGCGAAAGAATTTTCCTGGCGAAGCAACACAACGGCACGACGACGACGACGATGGAAGACAAAGAAGACGATGGACAGGGCCGGACGCGGATCGGACATCTTGACGAGGACAGACGAAGCTGGTAACAGGCGAGATTGTCAAAGTGAAACGATTGGACACAAAAGCACCCGAAGCCGACAAAACACCTCAAACAGCGCAACCTCCAACCCCAAACACAACAAGGCTCGATGGAATCGGACAACCCGGACGGGGACGCCATCAGGGAAAGCTTTCTCCATTGAAAGCCGACACGTTGATGGCTTGCCGGCGCCGGGGCGGACCTCGAAATGGCGGCCGCGGCATTTTTGTCTCTTCTGGCGTTTCTGATTCGTCGAGCTTTCGGGGGTTTGAAGCTTGGGGGTCAAAGCTTTGGGTGTCGCGATCCGACTCCAACCTGTCCACAACCGCACTCTTCCGTCTTCCATTGTCGTGTCGCGCATCCCAAAGCAATACATGAGCTACATTATTACTTTATTGCTTCATGGGCCTATTGCTTCGTCACATCGGTAGCATCACATACTAACATCCTTCCCAATAGGCCCGCGTCGTCGCCCCTGCCTTCATCCAGGCCCGCACCTACGCCGATGCCAAGGCCTCGCCCACCGAGGTCTCGACCATCCTCGAGCAGCGGATCCGCGGTGTCCAGGAGGAGGCTGGTCTCGCCGAGACCGGCCGTGTCCTGTCGGTCGGGTAAGTTGTCGTGTGTTGTTGATGATAGTGTTGCTGATATTGTCATTGTGATAACATACATCTACCTGTTTGTCCCGTTACTAACGTCACAGTGATGGTATCGCCCGTGTTCACGGCATGGCCAACGTCCAGGCTGAGGAGCTTGTCGAGTTCGCCTCGGGCGTCAAGGGCATGTGCATGAACCTCGAGGCCGGCCAGGTCGGTGTCGTGCTGTTCGGTTCCGATCGTCTCGTCGCTGAGGGTGAAACCGTCAAGCGTACCGGCCAGATTGTCGACATCCCCGTCGGCCCTGAGTTGCTCGGCCGTGTCGTCGACGCTCTCGGTAACCCCATTGACGGCAAGGGCCCCGTCAACACCAAGGAGCGCCGCCGTGCCCAGCTTAAGGCCCCCGGCATTCTGCCCCGCCAGTCCGTCCGCGAGCCCGTCCAGACGGGTCTCAAGTCCATCGACGCCATGGTCCCCATCGGCCGTGGCCAGCGTGAGCTGATTATCGGCGATCGTCAGACCGGCAAGACCGCTGTCGCCCTGGACGCGATCCTGAACCAGAAGCGTTGGAACGACGGCAGCGACGAGAAGAAGAAGCTCTACTGTGTCTACGTCGCCGTCGGCCAGAAGCGTTCCACCGTCGCCCAGCTCGTCAAGACCCTCGAGGAGAACGACGCCATGAAGTACTCCATCGTCGTTGCCGCCACCGCCTCGGAGGCCGCGCCCCTGCAGTACCTCGCCCCCTTCACTGGTAAGTGACATACTTTCTTTACTGCTTTTGGTATTTTGCTTTTTGGTCTTTGATGTTTTCCTTGTACTCTTGCAAGAGTAGACTTTACTGTCGGGCTCTTGTACGAACCTTTCTGTATATAATGTTTGTTTTTCTGCTTTTCTACTTTTCTTTTCTGTCTTTTGCTTCTCTTTGTTTCCTTTTACTTTCTGTTCCATTTCTTTTGTTTCATTTACTTTCTTTCCTTTCATATGCTTTCCCTTTACTTTCTCTTACTTGAATTTTCCTTTCCTTTCCTTTCCCTTTCCTTTCCCCTTTTCCTTCCCTACCCGTTCCACATCTTGCTTTACTTTTTCTCTTCTCTTTCTTTCTCTTTAAATACCTTTCCCCTCCTCTTCCTTTTGACTTTTTTTACTATCTCCCTTCCCCTTTCACTCGTCATATTTTTCTCTGTAACATTTCTGTCCTGTTTCAGGACGTCGCCCATTTTCGCGTGTTCCGTTTTTTCCCCTACTAGCGTCGGATTTATGGGTCTTAGTGGGCCCTATCGACAGCAAATTTCCTCTGAGGAGGGCGCTCTTTCCTTCCAAAGCAACTGCCCTTGCGTTCCTGCCTGATTCCTCTGCTCCAAGGTGCTTTCTGGACCAATGAGATGTCGTCCTCGACGTTCTCTGTCCAGATTCGTCTTTCACAGAGGAAAGCACGTCCTCACTCTCCAACAGTTCCGGTTGCTCGTGCCTCAAGTAAGGCCTGCGCTTTCCTTGAGAATGGATTGCTCTTTCTGGATTGATGAAGATATTCAAGTCGTGTCGTCATAATCTGCTCAGTGGTAGTCGCTCTTGCCTGCAGTACGGGCGCGCCTTCTTTTCGGTACCTAACCGAACTTGCTTTTGGGAAAGTCCATCGCATAACGGAAGCAGACATGGTGATTCTCGACGACGTCGAGAATCATAGTGGGTGTATATTGTTCGTGGTCAATATCGCTACATATACATACCCAGCAAGGTATGTCTGGATTGTACCAGGCAGACGCCCTCGGGCGTGTATGTGGCTGCACACGTCGGAACGAGTATCTCAGCGTATCCACGACGCGGAGGTGCCTTCCTAAAGTTTGCAGTTTGCCAAACGTGCTTTCCTGGAATGGGCGTACATCCCTTGCTCTGCGCAAGTTGCCCCTTTTACCCCTGAACGTACCTGCCTCAAGCTGAGGATTACTTCCTTTTCGTGCAAAACGCACGTGGACGCGCTTTCCCGATGCGCCATGGCTCTCTGTTGGGACGAGTTTGCCCCTTTTTTTGGACGAATGCCTCTTTTTTGGAGAAGGTCGGACAAAAAAAGATGCATCCTGACCAACCATCACCAGCAGCATCGCCAGGAACACGGCATTTTCGTCCTGTATTTCGTCTGAACCCCTTACACATTCGTCCTATCTTTCGTCACAATGGCTGCCGTCCGAGAGCGCATTGACAACATGACGCACGAGCTAGTGTCCCGTGACGCCCCCGAGTGGTACGTGTGCCCGGCGTACAAAGTCGTGTTTGAGGAGCGCGAGGCTTTCGACGCCATCGCCGAACGGCACCCGCTGTCCTTCCCCAATGGCCTTGCGGCCATGATGTCCTCCCCCTCCCCTCCCAGCGTCGAGCTGCTGCGCCGGCTGCCCGCTGGCCCCGACCCCAAGTCCATCTGGGGGGTGTATGCCCTCCTGTTTGAGACAGAGGGCGAGCGCCCGCGCCTCTACATCGGCTCCGGCACGGACCGCAACGGGCTTTATGCCCGCTTCCAGGCCTACAACGCCAACAACCGTGTCCCCCGGTTCGTTACCTCCACCATGGAGGCCGGATTCAAGCTGGCCAACCGTTTCCTGTTGTGCTGGGCAGCCATTCCGCCCATGGGCCAGCAGCCCCGGGCAAGACTGCGTTTCGTCGCCGTCGAGGCACTTTTCTGCCTCCTTTTCTCTGCAAGCTCCGTGTCCGCAATGGACGGCCTCTGGGCGGACCTGCTCCTGTAGAACAGGAGTGACGTCCCCTGGGACCCGATCTGCTCCCACACGCCGCTGAAAGAGCGGCCGCGGGGCCTGACGGACCTCTCCGAGGAGGAGATTGAGCAGTACGTCGCGGCTAGGGCCGTTGAGACCAAGAAGAAGGTCGCCAAGAACGACACGGCGTACCGCGCCCGCCAGCGCGCCATTGACGAGCCCGCCTACCGCGCGCGCAACACCCAGAACAAGCTCAAGTGGCAGGAGGCCAACCCAGAGCGCGTGAGGGAGATTTCCAAGTCGGTGCGCGACCGCGCTATTGCAGAGCGCCGCTTCCCCTGCGAAGTCTGCAAGATTGCGCTGCAGTCCAAGACGGCCCTGAAGAAGCATCTGGCCGGAAAGGACCACGCCGAGCAGGTGCGGCTCGCCGCCGGTGGCCGGCCCAAGCCGGTGTCTGAGGCGGCCCTCAAGTCCCGCCAGTCCGATGCGAGGGCCAAGGCCCTCAAGCTTTTGTACTGCGCTCCCTGTGACCACCCCGCGGCAAGCAAGGCGAAGCTGGCCAACCACTGCAAGGGCAAGGCCCACCTCAGAAAGGTGGCCGAGGCGGCTGCTGCTGCTGAGGTTGCTGCTGCTGCTGAAGTTGAAGCTGCTGCCGCTGACGCTGCTGCTGCCGCTGACGCTGCTGCTGCTGCTGAAGTTGAAGCTGCTGCCGCTGACGCTGCTGCTGATGCTGCGGCCGAGCGCCTCTAGGCGCGTTGCCTTGGTTTTTTGCGTTGCTTTTGTGTTCTGCTGTTTCCCGCTTGTTTCCCGCCTGTTTCCCGTCTCTTTCGCGGTCTTTGCGCCTTTTTTACATTCTCGGTGTCTGGTCCCCTTTTTCCGCTGGTTTCGACCTGTCTGGCTTTGTTTTCCGCTCCTGTTTCTTCGTTTTGCGCCCTTCTTCGCGCAGTTTACCTATTGTGACGCGGTGCTGCTTCCGGCGGATTTGTTTTTTTTTTTCCCAGGAGTTTCCCCCTTTACTGTGTTGTCTTTTCTTCGGTGCGGAAATGTTGATGGGCTTTAGAAGGGTTTTTATGCGTTTCTTTTGCGTGTTTATGTTCTGTTTGAGTTCTGTTATTTGACTTCGTCACGTGACTGATTTCCCCGCTAACCAAACCAAAAACAGGTGTAAGTTTTTTTTCTCTTCCAATGCAATTCGATTATGATAAAGGTTTGTAATGCTAACTTTTACGAAGGCGACAATCAGCGAATGGTTCCGCGACAGTGGCAAGCACGCCCTTGTGATTTTTGACGACCTGTCGAAGCAGGCCGTCGCTTACCGCCAGATGTCTCTGCTGCTCCGTCGTCCTCCTGGTCGTGAGGCCTACCCCGGTGACGTCTTCTACCTGCACTCCCGTCTGCTGGAGCGTGCTGCCAAGATGAACGACAAGCTTGGCGGTGGTTCCATGACTGCCCTGCCCGTCATTGAGACGCAGGGCGGTGACGTGTCTGCTTACATTCCCACCAACGTCATTTCCATTACCGACGGCCAGATCTTCCTGGAGGCTGAGCTGTTCTACAAGGGTATCCGCCCTGCCATCAACGTCGGTCTGTCCGTGTCGCGTGTCGGTTCCGCTGCCCAGCTCAAGGCCATGAAGCAGGTCGCCGGTTCGCTGAAGCTCTTCCTGGCCCAGTACCGTGAGGTCGCCGCCTTCGCCCAGTTCGGTTCCGACCTGGATGCCTCCACCAAGCAGACCCTCAACCGTGGTGAGCGTCTGACTGAGCTCCTGAAGCAGAAGCAGTACTCGCCGTACGCCGTCAACGAGATGGTGCCCCTGATCTTCGCTGGTGTCAACGGTTTCCTTGACAACGTCCCCGTTGCCAAGATTCTGCAGTGGGAGGCCGACTTCCTGGCCCACCTGAAGACGAACGAGACCGAGATCCTGGCCACCATTGAGAAGGAGGGTGCCCTGAGCAAGGACTCCGAGGCCAAGCTGCGCGACATCACCGGCTCCTTCACCAAGAGCTTCCTGGGTTAAAGCATCCAACTTACTGAACTCTCGGGGCGGATAATTGTCTCCCCGCCGCTCTTCCCGTCCGGACACAATGCAAATGGACAAATATACATGGACATGGACTTGTTAATGGGTGTGGTGTAAAATAAAAAAAAGTTCTCTGCCACCGTACAGGATTTGGCAAGGTACGAAACCGGGGAGGAGACGAAGGGAAAGAAGGGCAGCTGTGGAACCAGGAGCGAGAACCTGTAGAATTCATTTTTATAAACCTTTACAGAGGGAAGAAGGCGGTTCGTTGTGCCTTGTGTTGTATTGTCTTTTTTGTTGGGGCGACTGTCTGAGGTCAGCTTTATATTTTGGTATTTCAGTCTTTTGCTTCCCATCTGAATTGGCTCTCTTTTGTTCTGTGCTTTAATTGGTTTTACCACATCTTTTGATTTGTTTCTACCATCTGTGACAAAATTACGGGCGACGAAACGGTATGAAGTATGTGGAAGAAAAAGAAGGAAATTAATGATGGAAGCCGATCATATAGCAGGCGAGACAAAATGAATTTACACATTCGACCATATCAAAAATACTGTAAAAAGAATCAATAAAATTTCAACCACACTCGCTTTCTTAGAAATTGTCGTATATATACAATTTAAACCAAATTGTTGTGTTGTCCGTCCGTTCTGGTGTGTCATTGAGCGCACCTTCCGTCTCTGATTCGATTCTGCTGACAAAGGCCCGCTGCGCCCTCTGTGCATCGGCCCCTCCCGGCGTCAAAGAGCGGACTGACTCCGCCAAAATCCAGCGCAAAGATGGAAAAAGCGTGACATCATGGAACGCCCGAAAGGGAAGCAACGACGTCCTATAGACAATATAACCAAAGTGGAAGGGGCGACAAATCCGACGGTCGTTCTTGCCCTTCTTCACATTATCCATTCACTCCTTCTCTATTCCACCCTTTTTGAAACAGCTCGCTTCCCCACGGACAACAGCTCCATCAATTGGCACCTGAACGTCGGGCACAACAAACGCAACTAACCGCATCCACAACCACCAGCGCCGCCACTCCAACAGCCCCCGACAATGTCGCCAGTCGACTCGCCTGTCCCCGAGATGTCGTCGGCCACAAAAGAGATCCTTGCGCGTGCGCGCCAGCTGGTGCCGCCCATGCTATCGAGCTTCCACAAGGGTCCGTTGGGAGGAGGTCGTGGAACTCGAGAAAAGGTGAAGACAGTCACTAACTAATGGCTAGGCCAGCTCGGACGTATCGGCGTCATCGGCGGCAGCGAAAACTACACGGGCGCACCGTACTTTTCGGCCATGGCCAGCGCGCGCCTCGGCTGCGACATGTCACACGTCATCTGCACACCGGCGGCCGGCGCCGTCATCAAGACGTACTCGCCCAACCTCATGGTGCACCCGCTGATGCGCGAGGGCCGCGAGCCCGGTTCTGAGGGCGCCGAGACCGACCCCAAGGCCATTAGCAAGTGCGTCATTGACGAGCTGCTGCCCCGGCTGCACGTGCTCGTGGTCGGGCCGGGGCTCGGGCGCGACCCGCTGATGCAGCAGACCGTCGGCCTTGTGGTGGCGGCGGCGCGGAAGGCGAACCTGCCACTGGTGCTGGACGCGGACGCGCTGCAGCTGGTGCAGAAGCAACCGGAGCTGGTGCGGGGGTACCCGCTGGCGGTGTTGACGCCGAATGTGGTGGAGTTTGGCCGGCTCGAGAAGGCATTGTTGGGCGACGACAAGGAGAAGGACGGCAAGGACGGCAAGGACGACAAAGACGCCGGCGGCAAGGCGCTTCGGCTCTCCAAGGCACTTGGCGGCGTGACGATTGTGGAAAAGGGCGCCGTGGACACTGTGGCGGCCTACACGGACGACAATGCATACGGACCGTACAAGTCGGACCTGACGGGCGGGCGCAAGCGGTCGGGTGGGCAGGGCGACACGCTGACGGGGGCCATCGGCACGCTCCTCGGGTGGCGCAAGGCATACCATGACGGCCTGTGGGACACCGCCAAGTCGGGCAAGCCGCTGGACGAGCGGGAAACGGTCCTCCTCGCGGCCTTTGCCGGAAGCGCCATTACAAGGGTTGGTTCTGCGAGGTCCGCGATATCACCCCCCTTATGCACTGTCTCGGCTAACCACACTATAGGAATGCTCTCGGCTGGCGTTCGTCAAGCGCGGTCGCAGCTTGCAGGCCAGCGACCTCACAGACGAGGTGCACACGGCGTTTACAAATTTGTTTGGAGCGGACGAGAATGAGGATGCGAGCGGGGAGGGTGCATCCAAGCTGTGATCAAGCACATGGATGAGACACGGTCCACGCCAACGAGTTGTGAACATGACGTGCTGTAGGATATAAGCAGTACAGAGTACAAAATTGGTGGCAGACAGGTAGTCAGGTATATAATCCAGCCAGCAGTGTATCTGCATGCGTTTTCGACAATACATGGCATCGCGCCTTGTCTACGTTTGATATCAGTCCACCGGCCATTGTCTGGTTTACGCGCACATCAAAACATTTTTACGAATAAAGGGCCATTGCACAAGAAGCATGTTTTGTCCATGTCGCTCGGGAATGTCTCTATTCGCGTTAGTGATCGAGAGTCAAGTGTCATCGTGGGTGGTGTTATGCCAACTTTATTTTCGACACTGGAATGCGTCTTGCAACCACAATGTCCTCTAGCCTCGTGTTTGTTTGTTTCGAAACGAGCAGCAAAAGTAGGCAAGTCACACGTTATGATTTGATTCTACGAGTACAATCGCATAATGCCAATGTTTTCCGTCGACCTTGTATTGTTTACAGACTTTTTGTCTTTTGACATTTGGGGGCTCACTTGACTCGTTGTTTACATTCTCGGGTTGTCCGTTACTACATTACACGCCGAATTCTCTTTCCCACGCCCCCTCGTGATATTTCGTCGGTTACTTTTATTTACCCGGGTGCACTGTCTGGCATGCAAACCCTGTACATGTAGCTATTGTTTCGAATAAACATCATCGCCAAGATTTCCATGGTTCGATCTTTGCAGAGTGTGTTCACAAGGCAGGGCACTGTGGCTCGGAAACGTGGTTTCGGGCATGGGAGACCCTTTTTGTTACATGTGCATTGCCATACGGTGGAGAGTAGAGAGTGGGTGTTTTCAGAATACCTTGGATGGCGGTCAGCCACTGCATGGGATGCCGGTCGGTGATGTTTTGCATCTGTTAGCATCTGTCATGCAGACACGGGTGACATGGGCTTCCACGTTTTTCCGTGCTTCCGGCAGAGACGCTGTGGACATCCTAGGATACCCATAGATGATCCGACGGTGGAAGAAACAAACTCGCTTCGAGAAGCGAACAGCGTGGTACAGAATCTATGCACAGCGAACGAGTCGGCAAAACGAGGCTGGAAGGTGGCGCCGAGCAGATGCCCTGGTTAACAATAGCAACAAAGACATGGCGACACGACACACAAGAGAGTGCCACACGGAAGACGAAACTCTTCTAGAGTATTTTGCAAACGGCTGGTAGCGGCACATAATTGTCCGGTGGCATCCAGGATCTGACGGATGGCATACCACGAGATGGCCATTCTGGACCCCGCGATGCGTCGACGCATCCGATCATCATAACCAGCTCCTTCTTTTGGCTCGCGATCGATCATGTACGCCCATTCTATTATAGCAGCCAAGGCCGCAAAGGAGAACAGCGTGAATCTCTCTTTCTGTACGGCGGTGGCTTGGTTTTGTCCCGAAGCGAGGTCCAATGACATCCAACGAGCTTCAGAGCTTTTCTGGGACATCACAGCCGTACAACATGGCATGTGTACTCCCCATGTCTCTCCTCGCGGTGCAAGGCAACCTGGTCATTGGATTTTGTCGTGTCAGAGCCAAGGATAGCTTGAGGACAGTCCGAACATTTCCCCCCGGTCCTTGTCTTGTCTACTCCTCGGTAGTACAAAACGCAAGATAGCCGAGTCTGTGCTTTTGGACAAAACAGAGGCATGGGAAACAGAAAATGTCTGTGGTCTACTACAGAACTCGTAACTCGCCAAAATCTACTCAAATAGGAAGCCAGGAGAGATCTCCCGGATGAAGACGCTCAGGTTATTTTCCTGCCGCTCACATTTGTTGAGCATATGATGATGGCTTTTTCTTTTGTTTGGAAATCAATGTCCTTCCCTGGTACATCAACGCCCTAAGATCTCTACTGCAGCCGCAACGTGCTTGATCCTGTTGTTCATCCCTGACAATACGACCTTGTAGCGTTCCTTGCCGACAGAGACGATCGTTCGCAACGTAGGCCGCAGCTCAACGGGAACAAGGGCCCATTGAACATGCAAGACACTGAGCCTCACGGGCAAGGCGAGACCATTTGACTTTAGGGCCTCTTTTCAGCCCTTTTCAGCCCTTTTCAGTCCTTGTAAATGCTACTTCGAGAGGATCAGCACGAACAGGTGCGCTCTGCCGTTGGAAACAGCAGCCTCTTTATTCGGTCCACCTTTCTCTTTCTCTCTTCCCACCGTTCTGGATAACGAAACCTGCATGTCTGAACTCGGGAAATTAATTCTGCTCAATAAAGACCAGACTCCTTTTAAGATGCATTGTCGATCAATACGATACAAAATGGGTCTACATACATACACCTCAGAGACGCAGAGACGCATAGACGCAGAGAGTGCAGACCAGAATAGGGCAGTACGATGGCCACAAAACGAGAGACACTGGAAAGGGAGAGAGAGAGCAGGTGCACTAGCGGTCAGCCCAAAACCTGAGCCAGATAGACGAGAGCTGAAAACAGCACGGTGGAAAAGCCAGAGCGTAGCGTCCGTGAAATAGGACACAGGAAGGTTGCAGTGATCGACTGCCTTTCAAGGAGGGAGCCTACAAAATGTTGACAGGCTGCTCTTCCTTGTCATAGCCGTCCTTGTCATCCTCCTCCTCCTCCTCCTCCTCCTCCTCTTTTTTGTCTCCGAGATCAGCATCGTCCGTTGCGGCGGTACTCCCGTCAGCTATCAACACCCCCGGACGAGGGCTGGGACTGACCCCTTTTGGATCTTCCGTTGGATGCCTCACCGATGACAGCCGGCATTTCGGTAGTGTTTTTTGTTTTGGTCTGTTTTGATTCTCGTTTTTCTTGTTTCCGCCATCTACAAAAGGGGCACGGGGCACCCGACTTTCCTCCCCTGTACTCCCATGAAACGACAATGTCTGCCGCCATGCTTCGTAGTCCCTTCCGCCCGTTCCCCTGGGTTGCTGCATCACCGGCCTAGACTCTTTGCACGGAGCACCCACACACAATAGTTTCCTCGTATGTATGTCTCATTCGGGGACGGCGTGCATCGTGCAGTGTGCATGCTGCATCTTTTTTCCTGCATTACGGCACGGAGGTCGTTATGAAAAGATAACAGAGAAATGAAATGAAAAAGATAAAGAGGAAGAAACAGAAAAGAAAGCTATCATTTGTGTCCCCATCGTCCCTGACCATCATCTCCGTGAACGTGTGAGATTGTCTCTGGCGAAAAGAAGCTATCAAAGTCGGCATGCATTCAATGTGCAAATTTAGACTCCGTTGGATATACAGAATAAGCGTGCTTGGTCCCCTTGAGTATGTACTATCTTGGGTATATGTTTGTCCACGTGCTTCAGTCTGATGCAGTCTGATGTTGTTTAAAGGGCCCCCGTTTCCAAGCAAGACAAGATACGGAGCGTCTTTTGTTTGGAAGGGATATTACGCGTGTCCTGTACAACTATGCTGAGTGCTCTAGTTGAAGTGCTGCCCGTTGATAGGATGCTTGTATTTTGCTTGCTAGTTTTCTCAATGTAAACAAAGACCGAAAACGTGGATCACCTCGAGGTCTGGCCTGCAAGCCACAGCAACTGCAAATGCACTGCAGGTGGAAGTGCAACTTGTCGCGCACAGCACCTGCTGTCTCCTGTATGTCCTGAATCTCCTGCATTTCCTGCCTCCCGCCTCTCCTGCAGTGAGCATTCCAGTCCTGAAGGATCTGACGGATCGTCGCCACAACGTATTGCCGACGGGTGGTCCTTTCACAATTAGTTTGTTGCATCATCTATTTGCTCGTTTCGTTTCTCGTCTTCTTGATTTTTCTATTCTTTCAAAAGTTCTAGCTTAGCCTCCCTTTGCTCTCGTCCAAACAGCTGTTTGTCTTCTCGTTTATGCAAGACATTTCCAAACAGCCAAGGGCGCCCGAGAGAGGGGGACAGAGAGGCGACCGTAAAACAACTAGAGTGCTCGAGAGTGCGTGCTGCGTATCCCTCTCTGAATTGCGGGAAACTGTGGCCGCTGTTTGATAGCCGAGTCTACCAGATCAAAACCCCGCGAGGGAGGAGGGAGGCTTGCCTGCAAGGGGTGCAACTCTTTACGATGTGGCTTCTTTTGCCTCCGTTAGAGCTGCTGCATGTCTCACCGAACCGCTTGCCACCAATGAGAGTCGTCGATTCGACTCGTTTTCTTTTTTTCTTGCGCTGTTATCTTGCCAACGTCCGCCTCCTCGACACATGCTCTCCCTGGGTTTTCTTTTTTCTTTTTTCTTTTTGTTTTGGGGGGGGAAAGGTTCTTTGCTTATTGCATCAGCCGTTTCGAACCACTTCGACGTTATTGTCTGACGACAGAATCCTTCATGTTCAGCACATACTGTCATCAACCGGCCTAGGCTTGCTAGTGGCGTCGGGGAGGACGGGACGAGGCCTGGCTCCCTCGCGTCCCGCCAAGTCCAGTCTATCTCCAGTTTTTAGCAGCTCATTTCTAGCCATTTCCAGACCATTTGCAGTCCCTCCATCCCTTGTCCCAGTCTACCTGTGGCTGTTGACATTCTCCCTTGACTATCGCGGTTCACTTGTCACAGACGATGAGTTATGAAGAAAATGGCAAACATCACATCATCCCAAGGGATGCCAACACGGTGTCGGTTTGACTTGACTTGAGGCCGTCTCAACTCAACTCTTGTCACGTCTACCCGCGCTTTTTTCTTTTTCTTTTTTGTTTTGTCCTCTTTTTTCTATTTGTTTTTCTTGCGTGCGGATCTGTTTCTGACTTTTGACGTTCCGCCTATTGTCACTCGGTTGTCTCCCGGGACCCATTCCGCGGGACAGCCTCGAAGCTAGCAGATGCAATGCAACCCTTCCTCTCGCGTGTGGGAACAGTCTGAAAGTCGTGAAATTGAGAAAACGTCTCAAAGTGTCATGACTGTGCTGCGAACCTTGCACGAACTCGGCCAGTCTGGCAGTGTGGAGGTTTGTCCAGTGCACCTTTTTAGCTCTGCAGTAGCGCCAGTGTGGTGGCATCATGGGTCCCCTGTCGGCACTGCGTCAGTGGGGATGGCGGTTCTCCGCCCTCGCCTTTCGCTTCCTTCAGAGGGCGTCGGTCCCGGCCATCAGCCACCGGTGGTTGACAGATGGATGGAATGGACATGCGGCGTGTGTCCAATGCAATCCGTCGTGGTCCGTATTCCTATCTTCTTCTCCCTTTCGCAACCAGAGCGCCGTACGTTACAGGTTTTTGCGTAGCGTTCTGATGTCACGATGACTCCTTCTCATCCCTTTTGAATTTCTATGCCGTTCATCTTAGTCAGTCTCGTCTCGTCTTTTCGTTTCCGTATTTCATATTCTTCACGGTGCATGCCCTTGCCTTTGGTTTCCCCTGCCTGGCGCTTACTTGCTTGTCTACTTATTCGTGCGTCCTATTTCTTGTCATTTATGCCATCACTTATGACCTCCCTCACTGTTCTCATCCTTGCTTGAACTGCTGCATGCGGATTACTCGGTGCACATCTTCCCATCTTCCCTGTTTATGCATACGGAGTAGGTTGTCGCCTGCAGTCTGCTTCAGCATGCTGCAGTGCACATCTTCTTTATATTATTCTTCTTATTTGTTTGCTCACTTTTTCCACCATTTCCATCACCTGCATGTGCTTTCCTGCGCAGGCAGCGGTCGAATATGAGTGCATTTCTTTTGTGCACGCCGTCTTGTGACTTTGAAACTGTTGTAGCCGACATTCGCCATGCAAACGTGTTCATGCACAGTGCGCTGGGAGATGTCCCAAAGGTACGACGCCATGATGCCCCAGTCGGCCTCTGCCGGGCGCCCACCTCAGGGGAGAGGGAGCTTGGGGTCAATGGACTAGCAGAAGCAGCGTCAGCATCCAGAGCAGATGCCATGCGAGGTACGAATGCGGAGTATTTCCTCCCTACAGTATCTCATACGATGAATCTTACTTCCAAGCCACAAATCCGCCAGGGAGCCAGCGAACCCATAATGTCTCTCAGGGGATAGGCCCCGTATTATTCGCTGTCCAGGTTGATTGAGTTTGAGCCACATTACAATGTATTTGCAGGCACATGCACACTCCCACGCGGAAGCCGTAGTCAGTTCCCTAGCCTGTGGCCTGCTCACACGGCGGGAGCTCTTCTGATTCGTCGTCTTCATGTTGACGCTTCTCCCTTGGCCCGCCCTTGCTTCTGCTGCTGCTCGCTCACAGACAGATCGCAAGCCGAAGAAGCAAGGGCTGAGATGGCCGTGAACCACTCGATACAGGACGATACACGCATAGTTTCTTTTGTTTCGTGGCAGAAAGTGTCTTCTCCGTCCACCTTTAATACACAGTAAGCACTTGTGCTACCATCGCGTTCTTGTCCGGGCGCAGATTAAATATTGCCTCGTGTTGTTATCCTTCTCTTGCCCATGTCTGCCTTTTTCTCATCGTGACGACGAACTTTGTACAATTACTTGTCATTTGCGTCGCCTTTCTCCTTTTTTTTGCTTTCTTTCTCACTGACTCTTTCTTCTTCTCCCCGCTTTCTACCTGGCTGCTTTCTTTTCTTTTCTTTCCCTCTCTTTCCTTTTCTATTCTTTTCTTTCCATTTTGTGCGCAGCCACCACCCGCTAAACGTCGCCATCCAAGACACGACTCCACTCCCTTGCATTCGATATTTGCTTTCTTTTGGGAAGCGGAGGCGATTGGTCCCGCTGTCGTCAATCCGACCAACCACCGGCGACCATACTTTACATGCCATTGGCCAACCACTGTCCTCTCTCTCTGTGTGTGTGTTTGTGCGTGTCTGTCTCTGCCTCCTCTTGATCTACAACATGGTCTGGCCGCCCCGGATCACGCCTGTTGGACGAGAGGGCCAAAAAGGGATCAAAGTCGGCCAAAATGAGTCAGAACGGGCCAGAGGGGACCAAACTGGAACTGGGGCTCTGTCCAAGGCCTCTCTCCCTCCGTCGTCCGTATTTTGTGGCGTCGTCTCTCCTCAATGCAATGCCTCTGAGCCTCTCAAACTCTCCGAGTCGATCCAGCCCCCATGCATGTCTCATCTGCGCTGGGCTGGCCCTCCTTCTCGGTGTCGCTCTTGGTGAACTTTCCTCTCGCTGGTCCCATTCCATCTCTTTCCTCCCGTAATGTAATCGTAATGGCCTGTCGATCTCGCCTGGGTCCTGGGGCGATGGAAAATGGAAGCTGGAAGTTGGTGAGGGCCGCACTTTATCTGTCCATCAGCCTCCACCACAGCACTGAGCTGCGTACTGCGTTATGAGTGCCGAGTAATTACCCAACTACGTATGTTGTACGAAGTACATAACCAAGTACGGTACATGTACTCTTTACCCACCCTCTGCCCTGTGAGCTGTCGATCCACTACATCGCTCGCTCGCTCTGCCGCATTCAACATCGACTGTTTTCGCCTTGAGGCTGATCCCCACTCAAGAACGTGAGAACCCAAGAGGTCGGAGGAGGGAGGCCTACAGAGTAGTACGCCGTAAAGACGAGCACAGGGAAAACTCCTCAATTCAATCACCTGCTTTGGCCCCATGCTGGTCTCTGTTTTCGTCTCTTGCCACTTAGCGACGTATTCCGTTTTGGGTCTTGTGTCGTGGTGAAGGCTTTCCTGACGTCGTATTGCCGCCGCATTTCATCACAGAGAGCCTTGCTCGTGGGCTTTTCTCCCTTGTAACCAACCAGGGTGGGAAAGGGCATGGCATGGGACCAAAGTACTTTGTACGTCAAAAAGCCCAGGGATTTGGAGCGCCATTTCCCGACCGTTGCATTGAAGTGTCGTCTCTGTCAATGTCGAGACGTTTGCATAGGTCGTCCAATTTGTCTACATACGCCGTAGGTCACACTTCAGCAAACATGCGCTTCTCTTCAGCTGCCAACAGTCTCGTACTTTTCTCCTGTCAAGAAATATTATCATGGGGGCACAAATTGCAAAATGTCCGTGCTCACTCCGCACTGGCACTAGCATCCTTCGCTTGTCGTTGACGTTGCCGTTGCCATTGGGGATGAGGTTCATCCCCAGTCTTACGATGTACAAGACGGGCGCGTCACCAAACCGTCACAACAGAAGATGCGTCCTGGTCTTGCGGTCAAAGTTTCAAAGGCGAGCTCACGGGGGCGGATTGGATGCGCTTCCGTGCCCTATCCCGTATCCTATCTGCTGCCATATCCCCTGAATGTCCGTGCTGGTGCACGGTGCAGGTTGTCGCACGTGTCTTTTCTTGACTTGAATTCTGCCGCCCGTTTATTCTCCGTGCCGTCTCTTGGTGTAAGCCGCCTGAAGCTTGTGTTTTGTGCGTCCGGGAACCATCGTTTGTCGTTGTTGCATTTTCTGTTTTATGCATCTACGCGCACTTGCCGGGCATGTGCTATCCCGGGCAAAGAAGGAGCGCCCGCACGGATGGCGGCAGCAATGTGGCGTGCAAAGGGCAGGCGCAATGGGTGCGGTCAGCACCGGCTCTTAGTGGCAGGTCAGACACTGTATGGGGTATTTGGAATGCTCGACGAACGTCGTACTTTTACTACCTCTGATTGGACAATGGCACTGCATCGCACCTGCCTCTGCACGCGAGCTATCACTTTGTAAACAGACAACAGGAAAGAAGGAGCCAAAATGAGTAAAACGCGACGGAAGAGGCAAGAAGTGGCATACAATATGACGCCCACAAGGAAGGCGCTCTGCATGAACGGGCCCCGTTGAGCCCCTTTCCGGTCTCTTGTTGCGTGCCCCCTTTTTTGCTCACTTTACTCCTTATCTTTTTCTTGCTCGTCGTCGTCGCTGTCGCTTTGCTCACACTCTCGCTCGGCTTCTCGCGATAATTTCATCTCAACAACAAAAGCCGTGGCGTCGTCTACCCCGGTCTTTGGCATTCGGTACCGAAAGCCCTGGTTCGCAATCCACTCTCCGGCAAGAAAACTCGAAAAACGAAACAAGACGAACAAACCAAACTGCAAAGTGGCAATGATCGACACTCTCCCTTCCACTCCTCTCCACAACGAGTCACCGCCATCGCCTAGAGGTTCGCCCAGAGGTTCGCCCAGAGGTTCGCCTAGAGGTTCGGCCAGTCGTTCAGACCTCTATTCCCCAGCCTGTACAGTTGTAGTGCCCAGCTGTATCGCACGCCATACGCCATACTTTTGGTTCAGCTCTCCCCCTCTAGGCGTGCAAATCGCCTCAACTCCGACCCTAACGGCGATCTCCCGCCCGCCGCCCTCCTCCAGATCGGCCGTGTTTCGCTCGACCAGTCCGCTGCTCACAAAGGTGTACTTTGCTGCCTCGGCCACTTGTCTCTGGCTGTCCCTGCGATCGCTCCCATTTCGAGCGTCTTCCCAGCCGAGTCTGGGTCTTCTTCTCACGACTCTCAGCTTGCATGCTCCCCCTCTCTTCCCCTCTTTGCGGCCCCTCTTTCTCTTTTCTAGAGCACGTTGTTCACTGCACCTCTTCGCCTGCCTCTTTTGGCCGTTCCAAGTTTCCAGATGTTCGCCATCACTGCCCAATCTGGCCAGCCAGCATTCCTTTCGGTCGTTGATATCTTGAAACGCCGCCCCAAGCTGTCCCAAGCTGTCCCAAGCCTTTCTGCGTTTTGTTCGAGCCCCTCTCAGGCTCTCGGCCGTTGTTAACAAGCAGAGATCTACGGATTCACCGGTTGAGTATCGAGCACAGGATCTCCCAACAAGTCGATGTATCAAGCTGTGAACAAGCACAAGCAAGCTGGCAAGGAAACAAACACAAACTCACTCTTGCTCAAACCGCTCCTCCATAATGCTGAACCACATGCTTCCTCAACTTCCTATGTAACCCTCGGATTGCATCCCGCCGCACGCACACGCCCCCTCCATCACCACACTGTCGGGCAAGTACTCCTTGCGAAGTATTGGCGCCTTCCAAGTCGCAGTCTCGACAAAGTACCTGCTTGCTGTTTTTTGGCCACTGGCTCGTCATGTCTCTGATCTTGGCACGGCCTGGGCTCTGGCTGGCTCTCCAAACGACACCAAAAGAAAGAAAAAGAGGAAAAAGGAATCGAGTCGAACACGTCGAATAACCATGGTTCGTACCAAGAACGACTTGCCCAAATCCTCTCTTGCTTTCGACTCCGGTGTTTCTTCCTGTCTTGAATGGCAACCCTCCCTCGTCTGCCCCCCCCCTCCTCCCCATTGCCTTGCATGAACCCCTGTCTGTATTCTTTGAATCCCCTCTCTGTTTCCCAAGAGTTTGGCTACAGCAAAACTTGTGCATGCACTTGCTATTTCCGTTGCTTGGGTATGTTCTTAACGTCGATTCCTAAACGTACCATTGTACTCTATTTTTTCTCTTTGAGTTCGTCTCATTGTGTCCGCTAATTTCCCCGTTCTTCATCTTGACTTGTTATGGGCTACTACACTTTTCGTCGACTTTACGATATGCGCTATTTGGTTTCCCTTTTTGTATTTTGGTTCCTGTTTCATTGATTTTTTTAAGCCCTTTTCGGTCTCCTCGACCTTGTGTCTCTCTCCACCCTATCTCTCCCCCTTGACATCCGCGCACTCCCTGTCTCTCGCTCAGTCTCTTTCTGTCACCTGCCTCCAACTCCACTCCCGCGCAGAACAATGCCAAACACGACTGTGAATTGTCAACTCTCAGTCAATTGTGGTCCCTCTGGTCAACGGTTACATAAAGTGCTCTAAACAAGATGGCTTTAAAATACCACTACGAGCCGTTGCCGCAAGACGAAAAGGCGATCCATCTCGCTTGCGCGTGAAGCATCCTAGCATCCTACATGCCCCGTACAGAGTAATACGACATGCAGGCATCAGGCATCCTGGCATCATTGTCCTCTCGCATTCTCGCGTACTCGCTTCCTTGCACGCCCAAAGCCCACCACGCAAATCCCGGACCCATATCCACTCACGACTACACCCCCAGACCGTCACAGCCAAACTGGGTATCTCGCAGCCTTTTGGGCAAAGCGTCTATTTTGTCTCTTTCAACGTCGTCTGAATCCTATCCTGTTTTTTCTTTACATTGGTCTATGCTCTCCCGCATTTGGTTATGGCAATTATTGCAATTTTGTTGTGTTCTTTTCAATTGCCGTCCTGTCCCTATTTTCTCTGTTCTTTTCTTCACATTATACCACCGATTTTGTGCAAGTTTCCTGTCAACCCGTCAACCGTCAACTTTTTCATCTCCGCGTCATCACCTCGTCACTTTCGTCACCTACCAACCACTATCCGATTCGATTCGTCCAACCGTCCAGCGTAACATTCTACTTTACAATCCTTTTCCATTTGCGGCCGAAACCCGAGAAAACCGTTTGCCCATACTCGTTGGTCGGCTTTCTGGTTGAAACTCAATTTAACACAATCAAGCCAGGAAGGTCCACAGAACAAAAACCTCATAAACCGCAAACCCAGAACCCAGGGACCATCCTCAACACCTCGTCAATTAACACGCCCTCGTTCTCATTCTTCTTCGCTTCTCGCATCCTTCCAACCTGTTCCAAGACCAAAGACTGAGCGCCCATATTTCGACGTTTCGTGTTTATTTTATTTTCCGGCATCCTGCTGTCTTTCCAGTGATGTTACAAACAGAACAAAACACAAAACTCAGAGCAGAGACCAGACAATAGCGAACACAGATGAACACTGCCGACTTACACCTCTCCGAGTCCACTCCTCTATTCCCACCTCTACATTACTCGCACGCCCCTGCCTCTGCTATTAGTGTAAAAACCTTCCCACCACCGCACACTATTTCCAGCCCCTGCCCGGCTTTTCACATTCTTGCTGGACAGCGCCTTGGAGTGTCTCACTTGTTGTTTTCTTTTTTTTTTCTTAGCCTTTCTTAGCCACACCCCCTCGCCCTTCCTCGTATGAGCATTTTTCGTCCCTTTATTTTTATTCTTCTGCTCTGTTGTTCTGTTCTTTACCCCCCTCTCAAACCTTTATCACTTCCCCTCTCCCCATCTTGAACATCTCATCCAACATCTTTCTTTCCTACTCTTGCATCATTCACTTTCCTCACAATTCGGTCACCCGTCACACACAACATAGACACAGGCACAGACACAGACTGAACAAAAAGAAGATATACGCATACACGGACCACCAAGACCGACACCAAACCAAATTGGATCGACTGTCACTCAACTGCTGCACTCGCCTTTCACGACCTGGGAACGGACCTCGCTGCCGTGAACCGCTTCTCGCGTGTTACAGTTAGCGGACAGTTTGGCACCGGGCCTTCCTTCCCTCCAACCGGTCAGAATGTAAGATTCCATTTCCTCGTTTCCTGCCTGTTGACGACCAGGACATTGTGTGCGTCACTTATGCTCCACACTATTCGCTGCTTTTCTTCACGGTTCTGCCGGTGTAAGACCACAACTACGTGTGACGAGGTGTCGTGGAAGGCGTACACAGAACACAGAAAACAGAACACAAGACAAAACGGCATCTGAGAACTGAGGACAAGACGGGTGCGGGAAGGGCAAAGTCAAGCAAGCGGCTACCTGCCTCTTGCCGTTCTGTGTTGTCTTGCTTTAAAAAGCACACTTTGTGGTGTTGAGTCTCGGGCGGATCGCTTCTTCAAACATCTCTTGCACTCCATTCTCACTCTCACTCTCATTTTCACTTTCTCACTTTCACACCCAACGTTCCTCTACAATTTTAATTCCCCAAGCACGGACTGACATGGCACCTCCAGATCTCATACAGCAAGCCATCTCGACCACCATGGCCAACGGAATCGACAGGCTCGAACGCCTGTTTTCCAAAAAGAAGCATGCTGCAGCATCCCGTGAGCGGCAGCAGCAGCAGGCAGCCGACTATGCACCACCATCCACCTCCTACTCATCTCGCTTCGCGCTCCGCAAAAAATCCGCTGCTGCCACGTCCCCTTCCTGGCCTACCCGCCACTCGCCTCTGAACGACATGCACTTCCCGCAGCCGTCCTTTATCCGCCCAAAGGCCGCAAGAATGGTTCCCCGCGACGACCACGCTCCCACCTCGCTCTCGCGTCCTGGCACGGCCAATCGCAGCATGAGCGTGCCGGACGGCCAGCCCGCTCTGCCGGCCCTGTCTCTCTCTGGGTCTACAACAGCAACATCGTCCACATCAACGCGAGTCGTTGCACCGCCGCGGAGTGCTGGTGGTCCCACAGCACGTAGCCCGCATGGGCCCCCGGTTGCCTACACGACGCAGGCGAGGTCCATGTCCGTCACGTCGCCGCACCGTCGCACGTTTGACAGCCGGCGCAGCAGCAGCTCTATGAACTACAACTACAGCAGCACAACCACCACCCTCAGCAGCAGCGGCAGCAGCACCATGAGCAGCAGTACGCACACCAGCTGTACCAGCAGCACTTGTCATCCCAATCGCCGCTCTTCCTTTGTCGAGACCAACTGTGAGCTCAGCGACGCTGCTGCCCGTGCCGTTCCCAACAACGGCCGTGTTCTGGCGGGTGTCAACGTCCAGCGCCTGCCCAAGCGGTCGTCTTCGCTACTGCAGCGCCGCGACGTCTTTGTCTCGCCCCTCGCCAACCTGGACACCTACCAGATCTCGAACCAGGGCCGCTGTGACTCTGTCGCCATCACCACCAGCTCCGGCGAGGTCAGCCCGGCTACCGTCCAAGCCACGCCCTTTATCCCGTCGTCGTCCCCTGACTCGCCCGGCCTGGCCCAGGAGGAGCAGGGACGTCCGCAGCAGCAGCGGGAACACGACGAACAGCCCAAGATCAAGATCCAGGGCGACGAGCTACATGAACTGCGCGAGCTGCAAGGCCTCCATGACCTGCAGCACACGCCTCCTCTGAAAGATCTGCAGCAGCCACTGTTTTCTCTGTTGCCCAGCAGCAGCAGCAGCAGCAGCAGCAGCAGCGCCAGCAAGACGATCGTACCGACTCGCCGCTGCCGTTGTCTGCCTACGAGGAGGAGCTTATTAAACCCGAGGACGTGCCGTTGCCACCCTCTCCCAAGCCATCTGAGCTGCCCATCTTCACCGAGACGCCGCTGCTCCGCCGCGACTCGGTCTTTTCATCCATCGTCCTACCTCAGCAGAACGCCGGCCCGACAACAGCAACAACAGCATCCTCTGCGTCTGCGGTCTCGGCTCGTCACCGGTCCCGCCTCGCTCGCCGCCCCATGTCACTCCGCTACCAACGCCACCTGCCCATTGAGCCGAAGCCGTCGTCGCCGAACTCTGTGCTCATGGAGCCCGACTTGGGTGACTTTTTGACCCTCAGCGACGACGATATCGCGGAGGACGTGGCTGCTGCTGCTGCTGCTGCCGCCGCCGCCGCCGCTGCCGCCGCCGCCGCGACTGCTGAGGACAAGGAGATTGCTCGAGAGACCAGCACGCCCCGTGCCTCGGTCATCACCGCTGTCCCTGCTGCCACCGAGAACGTCTCCTCTACCGGTGCGCGGCCAGAGACGCCACGGCAGGCCAAGAGCAGCCTGGCTCTCCAGAAGCCGCTGCCGCCTGCGCCGGCCGACAACACCACTCCCACTGCCACGTCGTCGCCGCCTGTGTCGCCGACGTCCCTGACCCGCAGACGCGCTCTAGCCGCCGCCGCTCCTTCTCTCCCGCCTGCCTTCCAGGCACCGCCTCCTGCTTTCCTGTCACTGCTGCCTGGCATGCCACTGCTGCCCTCGCCCATGGCGGTCACACCCACCTCGGTGACTGCCAACGCTCGTCCCCGGACGCCGGCTGGTGAGGCCCGCATGGCGGCTGCCTTTGAGATTGCGCGCATTGCCTCCCAGTACAAGTTTGACCTGGCATACATTGCCACCATCTGGCCCAAGAACATGGCTGTGTCCGCGGCAACCGCCCAGCCGCAACCGCAGTCCATTGGCTGGCCCTCGTCGCCATCCTCGCCGTCCTCGCCGTCGGCTGCGGCGAAGCTCATGCCCCGCACCAATAGCCAGACCAGCAGCCGCCCGCCGCTGAGCGGCCGCGGCGCCAACCGCGCCGGCCATGTGAGCCAAGGCAGCCAGTCCAGCACCCACAGCAACAGCAGCAGCGGCAGCATCAAGCAGAACGGTGTCTTCTCGCCCGTCGGTATGCGCCAGTCCAAGCTTGAGGCCCAGTTCCTCGCTGCCTACGGCCTGGCCACCGTCCGCGCGCCTTACAGCCTGTCGGCGCCAACGCACGCCAAGATTCTGAATTCAGAGCGCTGGCTTGAGTTCAGCGAGCCCGACGCCCAGCCCGAGGAGTTCTCGCGCGGCTATGGCTGTGCCTTTTACCGCGGTCGCGCCGCTGTGAACCCTACCGCCTCTGCCACGCCGGTGACGCAGCAGCGCTACCAGCGCCGCCCGTCGACGGACGACTGCGACGCCGACACGGAGCAGGACGCCCGCGCTGCGGTGCACCGCCCCCGCCGCAAGGTGTCCACGTCGTCCTCTTCTTCTTCGTCGTCGTCTTCGTCCTCTACAGCCAACAACCGCGGCATCGTCTTTGTCGCCTACCGCCGCAAGGAGCTCGTCGACGAGCGTGCCCGCCGCCAGGACAAGGACGACCTCGAGACCCTGTACCGCGACGTCGAGGCTCTCGTCGACAAGATCCTGGATGTGCACATGCAGCAGCAGCGCCAGGCGCAGCTCGAGACGGCACAGCCGCAGACGACGGCCCAGCGTGCACTGCTTCCCGATGTGGTGGACGCGCTGGCAGCGGGCTTCCCCGGCGCCGGCGCCGCCTGCACCCTGCGCCAGTCGCGTTTCCTCGGTGTGAAAGCGGCCTAGACATGGCTTGGCTACATTACGTCAACTACATTGTCGATTTCATTTTTCCTATTACGCCGTCTCTCATTCATATTTCCTTTGTCAAACTCTGTACATATGTATATTGTCAGTCCTTTTCTCACGCTCATCTTGCAAGATGCAAAGTTCACACACTACACGACGGCTCACGCGGGACAACGAAACGGTCTCTTTAGTTTCCTTTTCTTTTTTTCTTCTAATCATCACATGGGCACGACTGCGGGGTGTACTCTTGCATTTTTCATGTCTTCGCATTTTCCTTTCCGGTTTCTTTCTGCTTTCTGTTTTCTGCGCTTGTTTTTCGTTCTTATTTTCTTACACCATCAAATACCCCTTTGCACAACAGAAGTCCACATGGAACGGAAGCCAAGGACACAAGGAGGAGCATAGAGGGTTTTCGGAGACGCGGCACAAACATATACCAAATATCATCTGATAGCATTTGATTTATCTACGAATTACAAATTATGACAATCATAAACGTCCACAGAATACCTTGACCACACACCCGTAGAACTCTTTATAAAGAATCATAAATCTACGAAAACGCCGACCCCAGCATATAAATAGGGTATCTATAACTTGTTCTCCGTTCCCTTCGGACCCTTCCGCGCCTCTGCATGCCTACATTTGCCTACGCCTCCTGGGTAAAATCCCACGGTTCAAACGCTGCCCGGAACGCCGCCACGTCGGCCTCCTCTTCGGCCTCCGTCTGCGAACACTCCTGCCACACCGTCCGCGTCGCTTCCAGCCCCAGCAGCTTCGCCACCACGCGCCGGCCGTACTGCAGGTCGAACCGCGCGCCCTCGTCCAGGTGCATCACCAGCGTCTTGCCGACAATCTTGTCCTCGCCCGGGCCGTCGCCCTTCTGGCCGGCCGCCTCGCCCCAGATCCACACGCGAAAGTAGTCGCCCTCGATGGGCACGTAGGCCTCGCCGTCTTTAGGCGCCGTCGACGTGTCCTCCACCAGCGGCGGCAGCTGCAGGTGCGCCGCCTCGACGCGGAACGCCGCCTCCACCAGCCCGCCGACGACCAGCGGCGCAGGCACGGGCACCAGCTGCCAGTGCACGTGCACGTTGCGCTGCCGGCTAATCTCCCACGTCACGGTGCCGAGCTGCTGGCGCGTGCGGCTCGCGACCATGGCCTGCAGGCTCTCGCGGAAGCGCGTCATCTCCCGGAACGTGTTGGCCGCCGTGACCTGGCCGTTGTCGGCGGCCGCGCTGGGGTCGTTGGAGTGCATGGCGCCGGCCGTGATGGTGGGCGCGTGGCTGAGCGGGACGATAATCATGTGGCCGGGAAAGCCGGCTCTGTTGCCGTCTCTGTTGCCGTCTCTGTCCTCGCTGTGGCCGTCCGCTGCGCCCGGCGCGGTCAACCCCTGCGCCGCAAACGTGGTCGGCAGCGGCAGCGGGCCTTTGGCCGTGGCCAGGTAGGCGTCGTCGCCGATGCTGGCGACCATGTGAGTCGGCAGGTTGGGGTTCGACAAGCAAAAGAAGCAGCGGTCAGGGCCGGGCGGCGGCGAGGGGTTGCGGCGCGATCGCTTGCCGTGGCGACCACGACCGCCGCCACCGTGGTGTTGGTCTTGTGCGAAGCGCGAGTACGGCTCGGCCTCGAGTGGCTGCCGGCGCTTCCGTGGACCGTGATCGCTGGCGTCGGATCGTCCCAGGAACGGCGATGGCGTGCACCCCGCGGGCACCAGCGTCGGCGCCTCGCGGGACAGGGCAAAGGCGTAGAGGGCTTTCGCCTTGGCAGCGTTGCCCCAGGCGGCAAGCGACAGGAACCGCGTCACATCAATGGCGAGCGAGTGCGAGGCGTCGGGGCGCTCCGGGTGGAAGAAGGCCTCGCGTTCGTAAAAGAGCGTTGTTGTCGTCGTCGTTGGTGGACCGTCGCCTCCCTCGCTCCCAAACACGTCGGGCGACGCCGTCACGTGGTACCGCGGACGGAGGGCGACCACGAGGTCCGCGAGGCCGTCGCTGGCCGGGATCATGCGCGATGGGTCCAGGCCAGAGCCCGCCGGGAACACCGTCTGGGCCGAGCCCTTGAGAATCCCGCGCGGCCAGATGGCCGTCAACAAAATGTCCGCGCCATGGGCGCCCCGCAGCGACGTCTCGTCGGCGACCGAGTGGAACGGCAGACACGCATCCGTCGAGGGCCCCGCGCGCACGACGCCGTCGGCCGAGGCCGCGCCGTCGTTGTCGACCAGCAGCCCGCCCAGCGCCACAATCCGCAGGCCCTCGGCCGTCTTGGTGACGCTGCGCTTGCCGAGGTAGTGCAGGTTGGGGCAGATCTCGTTGCCCTCGCCGTCGTCGCTCTGGGCGGCCGCCTCCAGCCGGGACGCAATGCGCGCCGGGAACGGCCGCGTGCCGACGGTAAAGTAGGTCGTCACGGGCACCTCGATCTGGCCGGCCAAAAGTTGCGCGAGCTCGTCGTCATCGTCGTCTTCGCCGAACAGATTGCCCGTGGCAATGCAGCAGGCAAACTGGTTCTTGGCGTGGAGGGCGCCGAGCTTCTTAAAGGCCGCGGCAAACTGGCCATTGACGGAGCCGAGGACGATCCTAGGACATGTTAGCCAGACGGTGGGCAAGTGAAGTGAGATGCGAGACTGATACAGAGAGGGAGCCGCGGGTAAACCTCACGTCCGAGAAAGGCAAGCCAAGGCAGGCAGCGCACGCCGGCGACGGGGAGGAGACCAATGCGATGGATACATGATAAAGAGGCAAAGGCGAGGTACTATGGTATGGAGTGCCAGGTTGTGGTGATGAAATGCGCCACCACGGCATGAGATGCCATGCGAGGTGAAGCAAGTGAAGCGTGTGGACGATGAAGAAGAGAGAAGAGAGAAGAGACACGAGCATGAAGAGAGAAAAGAGAGTAGCAGGCTATGTGCAAGGTAAAAGATGAAGGGGGAAAAGGCATACAAGGGCATACACAAAAATGAGGTAGAAAATAAATCAGATTGTCCTTACAGTTTCGACGACATTGTGTATATGTGAGAAGGAGCTTGTTCGTCGTGACACGGCAGCCCTGAGAATATGGGAATGAGTGACGCGGTGAGCCCCGGTGCAAGGGCGCTTGTGAGTCGTGTCCTCGTGAGCTGGCGTCGAGCATGAAACGGGGATTGTACAGTAACAATAAAGGATCAGATCACAGCCTGCATGATCAGTTCGTTCTGTCCAACACAGTTCCAATGTGAGAAGGCAAGAAAAAACAAAAGAAAACCAAACTCGAAAAGGGGTGTTGGCGAGATGAGACGTAAAATGGCGCCCGTATTATGGACGTGTCATAGTTCGTGCCACTGCAACTAACGAGTGAGTCGTCGAATCAATCAAATGGCTTGCTGAAGCCGGCGATGAAGAAGCGTTTTCTGTTATGCACGTCGAAGCTGTCCTGTCGCGTCTCGTCCAGCTAGCAGCACTTTTCTGCAAATCACTAGCGTCGATTATGCCCACACAGTCATTTACACGGTCACCTGAAGATCGCTTATATGCACCGTATGCATTTACGCGAACGTCATGTCTTGGCCAACGGAGCAGCCACCAGCCGACGGTAAGATGCATTCCTCGAACAAGACAGCGTTGCAAGAAGGTCGATAATTTACAAGGTTTCGTTTTACTGTTTTACCAAAGTACGCTTTTACGCTTTTCACAATTGCCACGATACAGAGCGAGATGGAATGAAATGGTCGAATGCCGGCCGCCTGCCACTCATAAAAATGACAAAGGAACCAGACAACGGAGGAAAAGAAACAAGCAAAAAGAAAATCCAAAGAGGTATCATACGAGGCAGCTCTGTCAGTGAACAGTGAACAAAGGCCTCCCACAAGAAGAGGAAGAGAAAAAAAAGACTTTCGAACAAAGCAAGGTATCCGTACATACGCAAGAAACATATCTCCCTCCATCAACTTTTGTGCAACCAAATCACATCTTCGCCCAATTTTTTCTGTCTCTCTCTCCGACCCGTACATTAACGTTCTTCCGCGACATTAAATCTTTTCTTTTCCTCCACGCCTTGTGCCAGTGCTTTATATCAACAAACTGGGGGCTCGTATATGCTATGCAACGTATGTACAATGCGAAAACGGAAAGCGATTGGCGAATGGCGATGCAAGGGCAATGCGTGGCAAAGAGAATAACAATACGAAAAGCAAACCAATGCGGCAGATGCCATGTGCCAACTGGACATCGCCTGCCCGTCCTCTATTAGTGTCGACGTTGTATCATGGTCAACGGTTGAAGGACGAGCAGCTGGCGACTGTCAAGCAATGCGATGCAACGCAGCAATGCAGGGTGGACAGTAAAAGAGACAATGAAAAGGAGAAATAGTAAGACAAGGTGGTCGTCTGGCGTACTTCAAAATGCTGGCAAAAAAATGTGTAGATATGCTTCCGGTAGCTTCGCGCGTGCTGTCAGCGTCGCTTAATGGATGAATGCCCTTGCGCTTTTGGCTCTTTGTTGTGTGTTGGTGGCTCGTCTCGTCGTAAACGATCGATGGGTAGGAATAAGATTAAGGAGTGTAAAACGTGTCGCGTCGCAAAATGAACATGTCGCGTCGCAAAATGAACATGCAAGGCAAGAAGCAAGGCAAGCAAGATCTGGCAAAAAACTGGTAAAACGAAGCAAGAAGCAAGGCAAAAGGCTGAACGCAGTGGTAATGACAACAAAATGAATGCTGATGAAGCCTCAATGCAAGAATGTTCTCCGCAGAGAAAAACAACGCAATGAGGATGAAATAAAAGTATGCTGATAATACACAGGCCCAGAGCCAAACTCCATGGCAAGAAGCAAACGAGGTTCTCGAAAAAGATGATGGAAAAGACCAAGAGCCGTAATGATGCAGGCTTGACATGCCAGAGAAAGAAAAGGAAAAAGGAAAGTAGTAGTAAAACTGTATCAAAAGGATCAAAAGGATCAAAAAGACACATAGTAAGGAAAGATCAGACATTATTGTACACCGCATGATCCGTAACACAGAAAAAAGAGTAAAAAATCATGGGGAATCATGGGACAAGAAATGGGCAGAAACAAAAGAAGGTGTTCATCAAAAAAAAACAAGAACAGACCCAACGAGATCAGTACGATGCCATGCGCCGGGCGTGGCCACGGTCGCTACCCAAAATCGGCGAGCCAAAGCCCAGGGCCATGGCAGGCACAGGCGACGAGTCCTGCGACAGCAGGCTGGACGCGTTCGCGCCGGTGGTGCGGCCGGGCGAGGTGGGCGAGGCGATGTCGCTGAACTGGGAGGCTGGCAAGGGCTTTTGGTTGCGGGCACCGAACGCACTGCTACCACGGCCGCTGGCAGCAGCAGCAGTCGGGCTCGCGTTTTGCTGGCCAAAGGCAAACGTCTGGGCGCGGTGCAGCCCTTTCCGGTTCTGCTTCAGGCGGCCCATGCCGCGCTCGCAGGCAAAGGCGTGCTCGGCGGCGTCCATCTCGACATAGGCCTGCGGGTAACAGCGGCAGGGGTGCTCTCCAAAGAAGCCACTGTAGCCGCCGTCCAGGATGTAGAGCTCCGGGTACGAAAGGCGCGGGTAGTGCTCGGCATTTACCGTACGGTCTTCGGCGCGAATGTGGCGCGCCATGAGAGGTGCACGGTGGGCCGAGTACTCGCAGTGCAGCACGATGAGCGTCCGGCTGCCGCGCTCGAGCGGTGGCGGCGTGCCGTCTGTGGGGCTCGCGCGGAACAGGTGCGTCGCGAGCAGGTCCTTGTCGTTGTAGTTGATGGCCTCGTTGATGTGGCCACCCTCGTACTCGTACTCGAACCGGCAGTCGATGATGAGCTTCTCGTCAAAGGCGTCGTTAAACTGGCCGTCAAGCACACGCAGCAGCGTGGCGCGGTCGATGCGGGGGATGGAGTCGTTCTGGCCCTCGGGGAAGAAGTGGGGCAGAATCGGTGCCTGGGGTGCAGTGGCCGCCTCGTCGGTATCCATGACAGAGGTCAGCAACGAAGGCTGCAGGCCGGACGGTGCAGCGGCACCGGCGCCCGCGCCCTCGTCAGACTTGGGCTTCATCATGTCGATAGGGTTCTCAAACATGCTCAGTGAGCGGCGGTACTGCCGACGCGGGCGAACAAAAGAGCTCGACTGGCGGCGGATGTGGCCGTTAATGGGCGAGCCGGTTCGCGAGCTCGAAGCAGAGCCGGCGCTGCTCATGGAGACAAACGAGGGCCGCGCGCGCATGGGCCCACCGACGCCAGACCCACTGCAGGGGTTGGCGTGAATATGGACTTGGGCCGTGGCACACGGGCTATGCGAGGTCTGGGGCCGGCGGTCGGCAAGAGGCTGTGATGCAGCGGGCTGCGGCGGGGACTTCTGGAAGCATTCGGAGAGAGAGAGGGAGGACGAGGAGGAAGTGGTAGACGACGCAGATGGCACACGGTTCTCGCCAAAGCGGAAGAAAGGGAGCTGGTTGTCAGAGTGCATGCGGGTCGGTCCAGCAAAGGAGTAACCCTTGGCACGGGTGAGCGAGGCTCGCCGCGGCAGCTTCCTACGTCTACAATTTATTAGTGAGTCAGGAATACCAAGTCATAGTGCGGAGAGTCGGACGCCAACATACTCAAGAGCACTGGCCAGAGTTCTCGGCGGCTCGAACGCTCCTGGTGCAGAGGTCGTTCCTGGTGCAGAAGCCGCTACAGGTGCGGGTGCGGGTGCTGCAGCCGGCTGTGGCGGGCAGGGCGACTCGAGCATCATCTGGTCGTCCGCGGCGTTTGCTGGGCAAGGGGAGGCCGGTGACGACATGGAGGACATCTGGAGTTCAGTCTCGGCAGCCACAAAGGCAGCCACGACCTTTTTCGGCACGGGCGTCATGTCCATCAGAGCCTCGGCGGGGAGCGGAGACGAAGAGGCGGGCATTGGCGGAGCAGCCTTGAGGGATTGGCAGTTGCTAGTGAAGAGGGCGCGGCGCGGCGTCGGAAAACGGGGGCTGGCGTCTTCGCCAATGGAAAAGTTCTGGCACAGATCCGCCGCCAGGGAGCCGGCGGGGGAGGAGCCGTGGACGGGGCCGAAGCTCTCCTGGTTCAATTGGTCGCGGATGCTAAACGCGCCGCCATTGCCGGAGCCATTCAGGCCACGGCCGCCACTCCGTGGCTTGCCAGGCGACAGACGGACTCGCAAGTTGGTGAAGAGGTCCCGCTTGCCAAAAGGAGCCGCTGGCCGGTGCATGGCGGCCAGTGGCGAGGAGGTCTCCATTGTGAGGGTAGAAGGAGACGAGAGGGAGGAGGAGGGGGAGGGGTGGTGAAGAGAGTTGATCAGGCCGTCAAGAGCCTGACCAACGTCGACTGCTATATGAATGCAGGGTGAAAGAGTAAACGCCTTTGGGACAAGGCGAGAAAAGGCACGATACAGTCGTCAGTGTCTTGTCGTCAGTGTCTTGTCGTCGTGTGCGTGTCCTCGTGGTCGATCCTGCGATCACGTATACGAGGGAGAAGAGAGGAGGAGGGTGACGGTGGGTGTTAGAGCGCCGATGTGCCGGTCGACATTGGAGTGGTGATGTGTCGTCGGAATGGTGGCGGTGGACGAGAGAGCGGATCGAAGACCATGGACAAGGACCGGTGACGAGGTCTGCAGTTGTCGTGGTCGGGGGAGACGAGGTCGAGCGTCGATGTCGTGATATCGAGCCGGTTGGCGAAGTGGTCGACGGCGAGATGTCGAGGTGTCGAGGTGTCGAGGTGGTCGATATGTCGAAATGGTCGAAACTGTCGAGGTAAGTGACAACCAAGAACAAGATATGTGAGGACGTAGAGAGTAGAAGAAGGTCAAGGGTCAAGGGGAAGCAAAATGGTGGAACAACTGGTTAGAGCTGTTGCACCGAGCAACGGAAGACCAAAGGGAGGGATGAGGGGATGTGGGCAGTGTGTGATAGAAGAGACGTCAAGCAAGGGCGGAGGATGGGCCCGACGATGGGAGAAGAGAAGAGAGAGGCGAGAGGTGGAGTGGGGAGGAGGATGTGGGTGAGGTGAAGAACAAACGAAAAGAAGAAAAGAAAAGAAAAAAGAGAGGCCAAATGACGAGACAGAAGAGAGTCAAGAGACGGGGCAGAGAGAGAAGGAACGACGCGGGATCTGCACGCTGTTCGGTGTAGAGCTGGATTTCAGAATGAAGGTCTGAATCTGCAGGTACGGTTCTCGTTTCGGCAGGCGGGCGTATCTCTGCTTCCCTCTCTGGCGGGCGGCGGCGGCTAGGACATTCGGGCGATGGCAACAAAAGTACCTCTGCACCGTCGTAGCTTCCCGTTCGGGTCTCCAACGTCGAGTGTCGCTGGGCTCTTTTCTTCGCACGGCCTGTTCTCTGCAGCACCAGCGGCGTGGGTGAGAACAAAAGGAAAGGAAAGAGGGACGAAAAAGAGGGAAGAAAAAAGAGGAGTAGGTTGTCAGGGGAGATCGTGCAAGTACGAACGGAGCACGAGGAGCTGAGGAGGTAGTGAGCGAGACAAGGCCCCAAGAAACAGGATTGTCTCGCCTTGCATCGGCGGTTCGTCGCTGCAGGTCGCACCTGCGTTCAGGCCTCAAGTTCAGTGGGGTTACAGGCCCCGACAAAGAAGCAGCGAACGACAGCGACGACAAGACCATGGCAACAGCGATCCAGCCAGCGACGGGAAGAGCAACCCCCACTGTGTCGGCGAACCACAATGCAGCTGGCAGCGGATTGGCCAACCCCTCAACCCCTGGCAGTGTTCCTGACCACGGCGCGCTACGGCGCGCTAGAGGCTAGCATTCAGCCTCTCAGCGTGATAATTTACTCCATCGGAGCATTGCGCTGTCCAAGTTTTCAGCACAGCCAGGCCGCTCCTCGGTCCTTGGCGCTGTGCATCCTTCTACAGCGTATTACACAGTAAGAGGTCATTTCATTCGGGCAGATGTAACAACGGCAACATGGTTGTCCTCCTCTGCTAGTGCCGTCGCCTGGGTCCCCGTAAGCGCTGTGGCGGAGGATCGGTAGGGCGGCGGCAGGGCGACCCCATAGCAACAGAGGTACGTATCTACGTACCTTGCTCCACTGTGAGGACGCTTTGGGGTGCTGAGGGATCCACTGACAAACCAGTCTGCTTGTCCAAGCTCTCTCTCTCCTCTCCCAAGAAATGATCAGCTTCTTAGTCGACACGGCGCCTGGCATTGTCGCGCGGCAGCACGCGATGTCGTGCTGGAAGCTTGTTGGCGTCAACTACGCCGAATGCCAGGCAACGAAAAGAAGATGAACGATGAGATGGCCGATCACACACGGAAATCACAGCAATACTGAGCAGCGCAGACGAGGAGAAAGAAAAGAGGGAAAGCTAACCGATTGGCCCCGACGAAAGTCTACAAAAGTCCAACATGAACGACCGCCCGATGCAGACCGTCGTATGCACATCAGCCTTCACACGGCCAGCTGAACGAGTGTATGGGCGGGTCCTCCACCGGTCTGCCGGTCGCAATCCCAACACAGCAACGCCAGCAGATGCAAAACAGCGCCAACCAGCGGCGCTTGTCGTCATCTCTCGAGTCTCCATCTCCTCCAGCTCCTTCTCCTCCTTATCTTACAACATTTTCGTGTGGACGACAGGACCAGATTGCAGAAATGTGCTCTAAACCATAAGCGGTCTTGACTTTTTTTTCTTCTTCTTCTTGTTTTTTCGTCGGCAGGCCAATTTCTGACAATCTCTTCTCATCCCTGGTGGCAATGTGGACTCGCTGAAAGTGGAGAGGCGGCTGGATTGAACTGGATTGAACTGATTGGACAGGACTGGAGTGAACTGCCAACCGGCAAAAGCAATGACAGAGCCTGGTCCGTGACCCGTGAGTCGAGGAGTCGCGAGTCTGCGTCTGTGAGTGTCGCCGTCTCTCTACCCCAGTCGCCTTGCTTCGGAATCTGGATCCTAGGACGAGAAATAGGAGCGATACGAAGTTGACCAGAATAGATTCGACCTAGGATGTGATGGGAGGTCGATTGGATCAAGTACCAAAATTGCATGTCTATAGAGAGAAAGCACCTGGGGTGCTTTTGACTGGTGACCTTGCACGGCGGCTCACGTTGCCATTCCAGGCCAAGAAGAATACAAAGAGACACGAAACACGCAAAGAGCCAAAAAGTGCCCAAAGAGTTGTCCCCTTCATCTTACAAGGAATGGGCAGACTGGGCCGGGATTCGAGGAATGGAGACGGCGAGATAGAGACAAGGGATCGCGCCGTGTGCACAAGCTTGGCCACACTCTGTCTGTTGCAACCCAAGTGTCTGAGAGCAGGCGAGGGAGAGATTGAAGAAGTTACTTCGTACTGTGGTAAAGAGAGGAAAAGGAAGCTTGGGCCAGGCGTGCCGCTCCGGGGCAGATGAAGACCGAGATGAAAAAGTCACAGCAAGGACAGAAACGACAGTCTCCGTAAGAATGCGCAAAGACCCCAAGTACGTCTTGGCCAATGAGACACAAGACGCGCGGTCGGATGGGCTCCAGAAATGGGGGCTTGCAATAAACGAGAGCCCCCAGTTGGAGGAAATATGAACATTTCGTTTGATGTCATTGTCAAGGACAACGAGTGTGGATACGGCAATTGGTAGCTGGCGCAACTCCTGCTCTTTTGTCACCATGCCGTCTCTGTCTTTGTCGATGCAGAGCCGTTTGCACGATCCCATTTGTATTGTCGTGCCCTGTTTTGCCGCTCCTTGGTGCTGTCTTTGTCCATCATTGCTTTTCACGTTTTGCGCCTTTTCCACGTTGTCTCCTTGGGACCTCAATTCCTGGGTGCTGATTGGCTCACTGGCGACGCGAAAGTAAATAAAGCTGCATTGGCGGCGGACGCGCCGAGCGTGACTGTGTGGTGGCGGTGTTAGCGACGACCTTGTATGTCATACGACGTATTACTATACCCATAGCGGATGAACCATAGCGGCGAAACGTGGTTGCCAGGTGTCTTTGGACCCGCGTATTCCTCCGTACAGTGTATTTGCTGTACTGTCGCAGTTCCCGTCCCTGTCGTAACGGGCAGGTGTGTCTGGTCAGTTGCTGTGGCCCGCCATGGCCCATCTTATTAGCGCGTAAGGGAAGTAGCCAGTGATGTCAGCTTCTCGCCAGATGAACACAAACGTTTACATTGGTCTACATTGGTCCACATTGGTCCATCTTCTCGCCTGCATCAGAGTTTTACGTTTTCAACTAGCCTTTTGACTCGGCTGCATCTAATTTCCAGCAGCCCTCTTTGTTCTTCTCGTTTCCCTGTTTCCGCGAAGCCGCCTTCTCAGTCGGTCATGGCGCCGCCCATTCCAAAAGAAACTCTTCCGTATAAGAAGACTTGAAAATACGGAATAGAAAGAAGAAAAGACATAAACGATGGAAAAGTACTCCGTCTCCATGGATCGGCACGGCGGCAGTCTCGATGGCGATGGACAGGCACATTGCCCGAAAAGGACACCAAAGAAGCGGCGGAGCGGAAAGAAAAACATATCGTCTGTAATCTTCATAGCAAAACGACAAGACCACGACGACAAGAACACGCCACTCCGGCGGCCAACAGCAAAAGCACGGCGAGTCAGGAATGGACGCCAAAAGCCTTGGTTTATTGTCTTGGCCGACCGACAGCCCGCCTACAGAGACTTATTCGACTCGCTGGGCTCGCCAATCTCTCCGTGAAAACATGCAAACTCAAAATGAAGCTTCTTTCCTTTCATTTTTTTTTCGTTGTTTTTGGTTCACGCACGCTCTCAGGTAACCTCCTGGTATGTTGCCAAACGATCCCAGTGGAGACTCTCAAATATCAATCTTACCCGGTCAAAGGCAAAGAACGGTTTAGGAAGCTGAGCTGACAAGGAAACGAAGCCGTCTACAGCGTAAAGTACCTACATGTGTCTCCAGTCTCTTGCATCTCCGATGCACCGTGATTTTCTTTCCTTGTCTCAGCTCAACATACACGTACAGGGGACATGGAGCTACCCTTGTCCCCTCCCCTCTTTTCCCCTCTCCTCGCCTTGGTCGCCCTGGCGTCGCCCCGGCAGCTATGGAGTGCGGTGGGGGCTCGTCTCGCGTTTCTTTCCGTTGTCGTCTCTGCTCCTCTGCTCGTCCTTGCCTTGTTCCCGTTTCGGCCCCTTTCTTTCTACTTCTTACAGCGAGTTATCCTCTTTTCAGTGCGCCGTAACTTCAGTCGTCATCCAGTTTACTATGGCGGACGAACCACAGCGCAGAAATGCCCTTGTGCCCTCCATCTCCGGGCGCATCCCTGTCATCAAGGACACGGAAACTCCAACGTCGTACTTCCTTGAGTCTTTTACCTCGTTCTCGTTGACTTTCGGTTTCCGCATTGGGTCACATGTTTTCTCTTGTCCACAAGATGTCTCAATGATAACCAGCATCTTTGCTCCGTACACGTAGACCTCTCGTCGAGGCATTTGCTTTCGTTACTCTTGTTCCCGTCGAGAGAAGGCTGACATGGAACGGAGGAATGGCTTCCGTCCTGGAATGGCTGGTTTCGTGGGGAGGAAACAGAGGCTTTGGTCGGCGCGGGACGAGCTGAGAAGACAAGACAAAAGTGACAGTCCGCGGCACATTCTTCCGCAGCGATAACCGGGGAAGAGTGTCTGAACAAAGCGCGCGACCAGCTTGCCCGATCAAGGAGGTGTTGCTGTCGGTCTGGTAGTCTGGCAGTCTCACGTGCATGCGTGCATGCCGCTCTGTGTTTTTTCTCGTTTGTCCCGACGACGTGCAAGTTGTTTTGCCGCCCTGTTGTGCATTCCTGCGCCTGCGTGGTCTGCCTCCATATTGCATGCATAATCCTCTTTATCCATTGCGTAGCTTTTCTAGTTGTCCCGTCTGTTCGTTTGACACCAGCGTCGGGAACCTGGCCGTCCCCGGTTCGCGAAAAATACATGTACGATGTATGTTTGTCTACAAAGTGCGAGTATTTCAAGGCACACCCGCAGAAAGAGAGCATGGGCCTCTCTCTCAAACCATCGGTCCAAGTTTCGGGAGGTGCGGCTCAAGGATAAAAGTCCCTCGAACTACGACGTACTCCGACGCCCGAAAAACGAAGTTGTACGATACGAAACGTCTAAAAACAACGGCGGCGGGCAGTGCCATTGCCATGCCCGTGTGAGTACATCGTATGCAGGGTTCGTCAGTCGACAAGGGAGGGCAACGTGAAAGGATCCGACGCATGTCATATGTTTGAAATCAGAACTCGTGGACGGGCGGTGTCGCGGCGGGCATTACGTCGTTGACTCTTGGTGTGCACCCCTTGTCTCGCATAGGACAAAGGACAAGACATTGCATCACACCACACCACTCTGGGCACAAGTTGCAAGGCGTAGTGCGCAGTGCGCAATAGACAACCCCGCCCGGGATGGCAGGCAATGGCAGCATCAAAGGATCTGGCCGCAACAATGAGGAGAAAGTAATCGTCTTTGCTACGACCATCGCTCCCCTCCCCCCTTGTGTACCCGAAACAGTCGTCTCAAACAAAGCATACGATCCCGACCTTTGCTCTATGTAAATTGGTCGGCTGAGGAGGCTCGTCGTGCTGTGTAAAAATGGAACAAAGGAACAAAGAGGAGAGACATACTCCGCAGAGTAAGAAGAGAAACAACCGTGCGTTTGAACAATGTCGCCGGATGCGTTGTTTTTGTCACCCTCCGTTGCTCTCCGTTGCCCTCCTTTTTCATCGGCGTTCCGCGGAAAAGAGGGAACAGCGGCAAAGTGCAAGGGATAAATGAAATCTACCAAATAATTACTGTGTACAACATACATATTATTGGACTCGTGACGCAGAGGTGGGTGGCAGCCGTTGGTCATCCGCCACTTTTCTTGGATGTTTCCGGTTTGTTTACTTTCGCGCCTTTTCTGCTCAGCCGCCATCACTAACCTGGACGCACTACCCCTCACCGCTCTTTCTTTTGTCCCTCTCTCCGTCTCAGTGCTTGCCGATGCCATCGTTGAGTATGTGTTCTCATCGTGATCGCAGTGAGCGATCTTGGTGCGGCAAAGCATCATGACGTTTGTCGTTTTGGGTTTTGTGTCGTCTGAACAATGGCATAATGTTGTGAGGTTTCGTCGCGGGCTCCAGAAAAGTAAACAAATGACGTACGGGCCACAGGTCGCGCACCGCGTTTTGGGGGAGCCATGTGCTAAAGCACAGGGGACAGTGGGATGAGCAACAAACGCGTGGTCACGTTACCGTCGGACCGCTCACGTGAGCTTCACATTTATTTTCACTCCAGAGCATCCAACCTCGCACGTCGAGATACTTCCACAAGTATGGCATGGAATCGGCGAATAAGACTGTGGAAATGGTATTTCAAGTTGTTAAAGATCCTATAGGAACTTTTACAGGTTCTGTATTTTTTCATGAATTTCTGAGACGGGGTCGTGAATTTTAGCATGAATTATGTTTTCAATTTCACGATTAATTTACAGTCGTAAAATACTACAAAGACATGTCTGACAACTTTGTCTTGGAAGCATGACACGTGCTCATGTGCCACTTCTTCAACTGCAACGCAATACACAATACGACATTTATACGCAACAACCGTGACGGTTGCTCGGCGTACCGACACGCTCCTACTACCATTGCAGCGTGTGTCTGCGTGACGTTGCACGACATCTTCACGTGAGTGAAACCGTGGTCAGCCATGTGAAACTCGTTTTGGTTGTGCAGGTGACCGGCCAAAGTAAGACCTTGACAATGGTCTTATAGAACTTTCTGAATGGCCAAGATCGAATTCATTAAAAAACACGTGTCTATCAATCATTGATCGGACGGCTTCCCACCGTCGTGTATATATCACCAAAAGCCCATACTGTACTCCAAAGTACGACAATCCCAGCCTCTATTGGTCCCGTCTTGAGAGCCGGCTGTATGCATGTAGACGTGGCGAAGAAACCAATCGCCATAGAAACGCGCTCGCCGGAGAATAGATCTTGTAGGAGCCGGACCATGCAAAGAAAATGGACATCCAACAGGAAAACAAAGCACTCAAAATGAATAAAACGCTTCAAGACTTCAAGTCCTTCCATCTTAAAAACCCTAAAAGCTATGATGAAAAATAAAGCACCAGAATAAAAGCAACACAGCGACAAGGACGGTTGTGATGAACGCAGCAGCCCCTTACAAGAAAACAGTCTTGTAGTACGCCTCCAGGTCGGCACACTCGCGGCTTGTGAGAAACGTGTGCGTGCACACGGCGCCGCGCACCTCGTCCCACATGGCCCGCTCGACGTCGTAGCCGGCGTCCCGGTTGAAGCTGTCGTCGTCGTCGGCCTGCCAGAGGCGCGACAGGGAGCCCTGTTCGTTGCGCGCGTAGACGCCGCGCATGGACGCCGCGAGGTGGCGCAGGTCGATTTTGAAAATGTTGTGGTGGACAAACATCCAGCGGGCGCGCATGTTATCACCGTGGCTGTTGCCGTCGCCGTCGCCACCATCGCCACCATCGCCACCATCGCCGTCGCCGCCGTCGCCGTGCAGCCGGTAGTCTTCGCTCGGGTCCGCCTGGCGCATGGCGGCGCCGATAAACGTCCCGTTGATCCAGCGGCCCAGGATGCCAATGGGCGTGTGCACGGCGTAAAACGGGTTGCCCATGACCATGGCACCGTGCAGAAACGTCTCCTTGTCGCCCTGCCCCAGGGCGCCCTGCGACAGCAGCGGGTAGTAGTGGCTGGGGCCGTAAAAGTTGTAGTAGGCGGCCATGACCAGGCTCGTGCCGTGGCGCGCCTTGTCGTACAGCAGCACGCCCGACTCGGAGCTGTGCCGCTCCGCGAGCCGCGGCGGCCGGACGTCCAGGATGTCGTAGAGCACGGGCGCCGTCGAGGACAGCCAAAAGTCGGGCCACGTCACCAGGCCGTGCGTGCGAAAGGGGGCCGCGTCGAACAGGGCGTCCGGGTTGTGGATGGGCCAGCAGTCGGCATCGAAAAAGAGGACCTCCTGGAAGGACGACAGGAGGATGGAAAACACCTTGAACTGGAACCGCGCGAGCGGCGGCATCCAGGGCGTCGTCTCCCAGAAGCGCTGCATCAGGTGGCACTCGGTGCCGAGCGCGGGGAGGACGGTCTCGCACAGATTGGCGTCGTAGTCGCTGTCGCTGTCCAGGAACAGCTGGACCGGCAGCTGGGACCCGTTGCGGCGCAGCATCAGGATGGACGTGACGGCGATGCCGACGTACTTGCCGCCCGCCGTCATGACGATGCCACGGGTGGGGACGACGCCCGGCGTTGCTTTTGTGGTGACGGCTGTCGCCTCGGGCTTTGCCTTCGCTCGTGTCTTGGTCACAAAGCCCGTGGCTTTGCCTCTCCCGCCGACCTGTGCCCTTCCTTCGGCATCCATTTTCAGTCGCCTCTCCACTTGCTTCTCGTTGTCTGCCGCCGCTGCTTGCGCCTCTGCCTCGGAATTCTCGACGCGCCGGCCATATGTCTTGCCCGCATACGGCAGCTGCTGGCCCAGGCTACGCGCCACTCGCACAAAATCCGCATGGGCCGCCTTCATGGCGTCCCGCAGGTCGTCCGGCAGGTGGACCTTGTCGACCCGCTCGCGGTACCTGTCAAGCTCGGGGTTCGGCTGGACGTCGTCGTCGGTCACAATGTCCTGGAGAACGACCTCCTTCATTGTTTTGGGGCCGGCGTCCATCATGACCTGTAGGAGCTGCTTCCAGTAGCGCAGCATTTCCTTGGACGGGGGAACACCGCCCTTCGGTGGCGGATGTTGCAGGCCGTAGCGGGACGGCCGGCCCGCCGCCCGCGTGCCCTCCAAAAAGCTGCTGCTGCTGCTGCTTCCGGTGACGTGGATGATGGGTGGGGACGGGATCAAGACCGCCCGGGTGAGCCCGGCGCCGACGTGGGCTATGATGACGACGAGGCCAAGGACAATCGAGAGGAGAAACGCACGGTAAGCTCGTGTGCGGCGCCGCTGGAAGAGCAAGAGCATTTTGGCTCTCTTGGGTGGTGGGTATTTGTAGACGGGCATGGTGTGTTGGTGATAAGTGCAAAGGGGATAAAAAGAGTGTTGGTACAATGGTGATGTCGATGAGTCGAAGCGATCGTTTCATGAAATCGAGGGTCACGAGCATGTGAACCAATGTAAATGAATGGGATAGAGCGGCTGGCAGTAGCTATGAAAGCACAAAGAGGACATGGGCATCAAAAAACGGCAAAAATAGTAAAAGGGATGGCGATGCCTCTCGGTCGTCTGCGTACACCAGCGCAGCCGCCTTGCTTCGTGAGAGCCCCCAGAGCCGTCCAACGGCCGTTTCCCAAAAGTATATTCAGTTCGGCAGCGTTGACGAGCCGTGCTGCACTTTTGCTGTACAAAACTGTACACAGAGTCGTGTTTCTTCTACATCACATCGTCGAGTGGGCGCCGCCTCGACCAGTTCGTCGCCGCTGTTGAGTGTCGTGTATCGAAGGAAGACGTTTGTTGGTAAGGGTGTGAAGGCTGTAGGGTCCTCCTTTCTAGGCCAATGTCTGGTCCAGCGAATGTAGTTGACCCTGGTATTATTATATGGTCGGACGTAAAATGTTGAAAGAAGGACAAACTAGTGTGAGGTACTTTGGAGTAGGATGTTGAAAAGATGCGTTCGAGGCCACCGAGACCGTTGTCGATGTTCAAGGCGGGTGGGACAGGATGGACGAAACTAGACGGTCTGGACCCATTCTTTCTTTTCTGCTTCTTTTTATCTTCCCCCTCCGATCCCGAGTACGGAGGGAGTATGGAGTAATGAGAATCGGGAATAGGGAATGGAGAATGAAGAGTTTAGAATGGAGTTTTAGTTCCGTAATGCCTTTAATTACGGAGAACAGCTCTCTGCTTCAAGACATTGTTCCGAGTGTAGCAATTCAATGGGGCCAACTCCTCATTCACGCATGCCAACAATTGCTCCACGGGACGTACGGAGTAGATTTTGACGCCGTCGTGCAAGGGACACTCGGCTCCGGTGTGTGGCATTAATATTCGACCGGAGAGACGGGAACAAATATGTCATGGAAACTTACTTCCGTCATAAAAAAAAAAACGGTTCCTGGGCGGCGGATGTGGTTGTTTTGTGTGCTGCCCGAGGACAGACCCATACCGGTTGTGAGGATCACCGCCCTTGTATTACGTGGACAACACGGTGATGGGGGTGTGTTTCTGACAAACGAGATGAAAGAGTGTGCTGAGTGTATTGAGTGTACTGAGTGTAAGACATTGATTTTGTGGCTTTCTGTCAAGTCCAGGGAGGTTGTATGAATTAATGGATGGGGAACAAAGGACATTCACATTAAAGGCGACGTTGAAAGCTTTCCGTCCCGTTTACGAAGGACGATGTACGACTGCATGGCACATTGACGATGGAGAAAAGCTTAAGCGGATGTACCTTTTGTAAGTGGCTTGCATTGCTCGGGTGCCGTCAACTTTCCGCTTTCACTTTCACGCCTTCTCAATCGAGGATAGGCTTATGATGAAGCTTCTCCATATGCTGTACTCGCGGCCATATTTCATGTTTTGCCCAACTTGACATACATATCCCTCGTTCCATTTTTAACCGTCCAAAAACGACACAGAGTATACCGAATACGTATCTGCTCGCTCGATCCTCACTCTTCGATGAGGGCGACGTTCTTTCAAGAAGCTTGGGTGAATGATGCGACTGATGCCGAACAAAAAAACCAGTTGCTAGCGCCTAGGCGGAAAAGGGGGCGGTGATTCGAGCTTGCAAGGCTACTGGATGTGGAACTCGGCTCCAGTTTTCTGATCTTTTGGTCGATCTGCAAGAAGGCGAATCGGTTTTGATCAAGTACGATGTACCCATATTCTTTTGCATGTGCTTGGAGAAGCCTGGCCTGACTCACTGGTTCTCTAGGCTCTCTAGGCCTCACCGGACGATAAAAGAGATTAATTATCACGTGTAAAGAACCCTTGGGTTGCCAAACTCCTCAACTCTCAACTCCTCATTTTACTTCGTTTTCGCGGCCGCGGCACTAAATAGGAGCCGTTGCAACAGACAGAAAGGGGAAGAGAGGTGACAAAAGGGAAATACTACTCTGACAAGAAATTTGCCAAAATCCGAAAAAAAGTAAATTTGATAATGATGGGCAGGCAGGGCGGAGTAATAAATAGAATTATGGAGGGAGAAAAAGAAAAGGGAGGCGGAGGCAAGGGACGAGTCTTACGGAAACTACGAAACTGCCACTAGGCACTCCAGGAACGGTTGCAACAAGCGAGCGACTAACGTAGGCTGGAGGCAGCCATTGGACTGTACGAAATACAGACGAACTTGTTTCAACGCTCGTTGTATAAAAACGGCCGCCGGGGAGTGTTTCTACATGTTGTTGTTTTGCAGCCAATCAGCCAATGTCGATTATGACAACACGTTTCTCATGAGCTTCAAAGATGGATAAAACAACCCAAACGACGGCTTATATGTCGTTTCCGTTGATGGCGAGGACGAGATTGTGAGTTGTACGTACGACTGTAGCCTGCAGTGCCCTGCCACGATAGTTTGAAGCCTGGATCGTATGCGCTCTATTTAGAAGACGGACTCTGTTCTCGAAACGGGGAAGCAATACGATGTAAAGGGCCCAGCCTAGCCTTGTCACGATCGACAATGTACGACATACTCTCCGGAGCCGTCATCTAACCAGATCCAAGCGTGACGGGAGGAAGGCGATCAGAGGATCGTCGTTTGCCAAGAGACGAGGTCTGCTGCACCTGGCAAGGCGGAGTCCCTCTGGAAAACGAAGACAGCAGCGACAACGCGACACGAGTCAAGGAATGCACGATATCCAGAGCTGGCGACTTGCATGGAACGACTGCGAGTCGTCAAGTTCGTTTTGGTGGCGAGGCGCCATGGGTTTAGAAGTCTGGATGGAATTGTTGGCGGTTGTGCCTCACAATGCCAGACGTTTCTGCATTTCTGTCTAGCCATTACGACGACTTCTATTTCGTACAGGAAGTACCACTAAGCCAACTGGCAATGGAGAGCTCTAACGTTAAGGCTCGATAACAGGTACCGTGGTCTTCCCACATCTATTTCTAGCCATACGACTTCAATGTATCCGCACGTGCCGAATCAGGTGACACAGATGATTAGTCATAATGGTGAGACGAAATGGGGCCAAATGGGCCCAATTTGGGGGCTGGCCGTTGCGCTAAACCCAGCCAACGAGGCAGCTTTTCGTCCAGTGGTTCCGCCTTGCAGCGCCGCGGACCTTGTGGCAGCTCCTAGTGAAGTTGCGTCGGATGTTAATCGTGGCTGAGAGATTGCGCGCAACGGACAAAACGGACAAAAAAAGAACAGGCTGACGTGTGTTTTCCGGGGACAAGTCGAAGTGCGACGCCAACAAGGACGTCGAAAGCAGCAAACACAGAATTGAACAAGAGTTGGAAACGAGCATCAGACGAGAATCCGACGAGCAAAAGACACCGAAAGAACATCTCGACCACCTCGCCAATTCTCCCCTTCGACTACCTCCCGTGCCTCCACCGCACGCGCACCATGGCCAGCACGATCCTCGACCTCGTCTACTCCATGGGCAGCTGCCTGTCGTGCTTCCCGAGCACGCCCACCCTCAAGATCAACGGCCGCAGCTTCAAGATCCTGCGGCTGCTCGGCGAGGGCGGCTTCTCCTACGTCTACCTGGTCCAGGACAATGCGACCGCCGAGCTGTTTGCCCTCAAGAAGATCCGGTGCCCCTTTGGCGCCGAGTCCGTCGCCCAGGCCATGCGCGAGGTCGAGGCATACCGGCTGTTTGCGCGGTCCGAAGGCATCATCCACTCGGTCGACTATAGCGTGGCCACCGAACGGGGCGGCGGCGGCGGCGGCGGCAACATTGGCGACAGCGGCGGCGGGCCGGCCAAGACGGTGTACATTGTGCTGCCGTACTACCGGCGGGGCAACCTGCAGGACCTGATCAATGCGAACCTGGTGAACCACACGCACTTCCCGGAGAAGCAGCTGATGCAGCTGTTCCTGGGCATCTGCCGCGCGCTGCGGGAGATGCACGTGTACCGGGGCAGTGCCGCGGCGGCCGCGGGCGGCGGCAGCACCAGTGACGAGCACATGGACGTGCCCCAGCGGGGGGCCACGGGCGCAGCAGCCGGCACGTCTGCGTCTGGCCCTGGCTCGGGCTCTGGCGGTGCAGGTGCAGGTGGCTCCCGTGCGGCCGGTGCCGACGACGAGTTCGAGGCCGAGCAGCAGCGTCCGCTCATGGGCGAAGAGGAGCCGCGTGTCGGCGGCGGCGGCTCCGGCCGCAGCTACGCCCATCGTGACATTAAGCCAGGTACGTCACGGCCCATGTTCATTGTTCATTTTCGTGTACTTTTCCGCCCACTGACCGCACCGCCCCAGGCAACATTATGATCGCCGACGACGGCACCACCCCCATCCTCATGGACCTTGGCTCCATTGCCGACAGCCCGCTGGCCATCACCTCCCGCAGCCTCGCCATCGCCACCCAGGACGTCGCCGCCGAGCACAGCACCATGCCCTACCGCGCCCCCGAGCTCTTTGACGTCAAGACCGGCGGCGTCGTCGACACCAAGGTCGACATTTGGTCCATGGGCGCCACCCTGTTTGCGTGTCTCGTGGGCAAGTCGCCCTTCGAGATGCGGTCCGACGAGACCGGCGGCTCCCTGGCGATTTGCGTCCTGAGCGGCGACTGGCGGTTCCCCGACGAAGGGCCCGGTGGCAAGCCCAAGGCGCCGTCCGGGCCGCCCAAGCGGACGGGGACGGGGATGAGTGCCAGTGGGGCGGCCGGTGGCGGCGCTGCTGCTGCTGCTGCGTCCGTGCTGGCCGACGAGACGACCATCAGCGAACCGGTCCGCGAAGTTGTCCGCCGGTGCCTGAGCGTCGAGCCGGCCGAGCGGCCCGACATTGACGAGCTGATCCAGCTGGTGGAGGACACGCTGGAGCAGTTGGAGTAGACGGCGTGCAGCGACGACGACGACGACGACGACGGTAGCCGGACGAAACGGAGAACAACGACGAC